TTCTAACATTGTTTGTTAATGAATATTTTTTCCATTTATTTGGGCCCCATCCAAAAAAAATATTGGATGCAACCCAGGGGGAAGCACTCGCCTTGGCCGTATATGGGCCAGAATGTCTAACGATTTCGGCCATGTTGTGTATACCAAAGTCTTGAAAAGTTGATCGCTGCAATCAAACTGCAAGCATGAAGCAGCAGCACTTTTGAGAAGTGTCCCTCTCACTAAACTGCACCTCTGCTACCGTAATGCAATTTATATTTCTGGTATACACAACATGGCGGAAATCGATAGACAAAAACAAGCCACCAATGGTCCTTCCAGTATATATTAGAGTTCAGTGATGCAACCCGATGGCTTTTTGGATTTTGAGGGGGTTATCTTGCGCCCTTGTGCGTTTAGCCCCCTCCTTGAGGAAATCCTGGCTACGCTCCTGAATATCGAGCAACCAGAAAACTTTTTTTGACCTTCAAACAGCATCCAGTTTGCTTAAGACCGGAAAGGTAGTACCGGACGTCCGGCCGGACCTTTATTTTTGCATTTGCTTCTGGGTGGGCAAATCGACGCCACTGGGTGGGCAATTGTGGCGACTGGGTGGGCATTTGCCCACCCAGTGGGTATGTTAGAGGAGGCCCTGGTAACTGCTCTGGCTCGTTCACATTGCATTTATTTCCCGCCCGCATATGCCGATGCTCTGTGATACTGTGCCGGCTGGCGCCGGAGCCCGGCGGCACAGTATCGGCCGAGCGCGCAGGGGCCCGCCGGCCGCGCCAGTCAGCCCGCAGTCAGGTGAGGGTGTTCAGTCGGGCTCAACTCCAGCTGTACTTGGCCCAAACGTATCGCTGGGAAAGAGGCCCACGGCAGCCCAGTGGCGGATACAGGGGAGGGCGAAATGGGCATTTGTCCTCCCCAAAGCTAAATCGTGTGGGCAATACTTTTTTTGCCCCTCCAAAAGTATGTAGGGATGATAAGATACAGGGTGTCTCAAAAGTTCGTTGACAGGTACCAGCCATGCTTTTTTGTCAATAATTCTGAATCAACAATAAATTAACAGTCGAAATTTTGCATAGACATTGGTAACAACCTTCCTCAAGCAGTCTCATTGTTTTCAAACGCATTCGACCCTTAATGAGCCCACAAAAAGGGTTCATCTCTGACCATGGGTCAAGCATGAAAATGGAGGTCGCAAAATCGGGTCGGCTGAGAAACTCTCTGTTTCAGGAGTAATGGGAATGGTTAAGTCGGAAATGACACATGGCAAAGTGTCGGCGAGGATGAGTACAACATGATGATCATCTAATAAAAACGGTGGCTAAAATTTTTGAAGGACAAAACCATGCGAGACTAACAGCGTTTTGAACGACCCTCGTACGGCAGCAGACTCGTGCTCCGGAAAGCAGCTGAAAATGAAGGCATAACTATTGAAAACTGACAAGAAGCTCACAGACAGAGGTTACCCAGTTTCAAAAATTGCAGGTCATCGTAAAATAAAGATAAAGTATCATTTGAAATTGTTTATAATATCTATAACGCTAAATTTTTGGGGAAAATAACACGAAAATCATCAATACCAAGGACAACTGACCCTCCAAAAGTGTCAATTAATGTAAAGTTTTATCTTACGAAGTTTCAAGAGGCAGATCTGGAGCGAATAGCTTTCATTTTGACACAAAATCCCGACAAAACCACACGATTGACAGGTTTTGGCCGTTTGCAAAGCAGAACCTCTCCTGAGGAAAACACTCCGCAACCCAGCGAAGGTCTTGGCATGGGGAATGACGAGCGTTTGGGATTTGCAAAATATGCACAATGTGTCTAAGAAACAGATGGCCGACACATTCTTCTACGATATGCTGCGAAAAATTTCCCCTGGCACTTCCCATTTGTTCAGGAATGGGGTTGTTTTGAAAAGGAAAATGGTGCTTGGGAGGTCGGCGCTGCAGTCACTCATGAAGGAGTTAGCGCCAGAGAAGGCCTACAAAATACTCACGGATGGTGTCGATGCAAGCTGTCGGCTTTCAGGGAGAAGCGGATGTTGCCGGGGAGCTCGTCAAACCTAAATCCGACGCAGAAACTGCAGGGGATTCCCTTACAAGAGCTTGAAAGCTGGTAACCTTTTATCAGCCTCCGGCAGCTGACGGAGCGACGAAAATCGGTATGGGCAAATATTTTTGGAGATACAGCAAAGAGTTTGATTTCCAACCTCCCGAATCAGTTGTCAAAGCATGCATATTTGTCTAGTGTGCACACAAACACCAAAACCTTAGATTTTTGGCCGGTTCTTATATGCTTTATGGGCATGGGAAATGTGTAAACGAACTTTTGAGACACCTTGTATAATATACGGCGTCGATGCCTAACTGGACGAAGAGCAGGACCTCCCGTGACGGCCATTCTGAAGGAAGGAGCTGGCCGCTCGGTGCTGATGAATTAGGTCGGTATGCTGATAATACATCGATGGATCTACCTGGACTGAATGCGTGCAGATGCAGTGAGTCGTTGTAAAGTCGCTTGGTCACCGATGCGGCGGTGGGTCGGGGTAACCGATGGGTCGGAAGGCCAAAACGGATCAAACGGATCCGTTCCCTCCACAAACGGATCGGCTGGATCCGCCCCTGTGGCAGCCTTAATTTCATTGTCACATATGTTGGTATGTCTAACGTGGACTGATAAGTCTTTTCTCGTGATGAACTCCTGGACAATGGACATCACACTTAAGTCATAATTGAAATAAAGACATAGGTATCATGAGGAAAATGTTTTAGTTCAGAAAAGAAACATGAATGATAATCTTTAACCCGCGCACCGCCGGGGGGGGCGGATATCCGCCCCCCCTGAGGTTTTTCGCGAATAGCGGGAAAACCGCGGCGCGTAGCGCCGCAAAATTTGGTACAACTATTCTCTCATCAATTTTACACATGGTGTGCAAGTTTGAACCTCCTAACTTTTAAGGTCAGGTCACCAGGTCACTTTGAATGACCCAGCCTCCAGTCACTTTTTTGCAACTTTGTCACCGTGCCAGAGCTACAGTAGATGTCGGAGGCCTTTGAAAGTCGCAGGATGTTATTAGGTCATTAGTAGCTACAATTTGTATATCTCGGAATTTTGATATCGGTGACCTAAGGTCAGGTCAATTTCGCGACCTCCCCATTATAAGTCAATGGGGGAAAAATCAACTCCCTGTTTTTACTACTAAAACGGGTCGGAATGGCCCCATAAACCATACATGACCTCATATACGATCAACCTTCACTACCTTGAGGTCTGTTTTGCTGTTGGGCAGCTGTAAGGTCATGTGACGTCATCAGAGGTCACCAGCGGTTTTTTGACAATAACTCCGTACAGGAACAAGCTACAGCCGCGCGGATGGTATCATTGTGTTCAGCTCGTCAAGGCGCATCGAATGATATACATAATGACATCAAGGTCACGTGACCTGAGGTCAACCTTTGACCTTGACCTTTCGAGGTCAACATATATATCATTCGATGCGGATTGACGAGAGGATCACGATGCTGCCCTTAGTTTGTTCCTATATTGACTAGTTCGAAAATTATTCGAGAAAAACTCTCCATACCTAGCGCCGCCATTTTGACTTTTTTGACCCCTGTGACGTCATCTTTGACCTGACCTGAAAATGACCTTAGTAAAAATTGTAGACCTTGTCCGTGCGTATCCCTTGCCGTTTACCGCTTGTCGCTATCTTGCTTCGTTCTCGAGATCTCAGGGGGGGGGGCGGTCATCCGCCCCCCCCCCGTCGTCGGTGCGAAGTTGGCGCAGACCCCTGTCGGTGCGCGGGTTAATCTTTAAACATCTTTAAACATTGCAAAGATTTTGATGAAAATCCTAAGTGACGCCCAAAAGATGCATTGTGAGGCCAGTTTCAAAACTGAAAAAAAAACATACTGGCTGCGAATGCTTTTTTTTTTGCCCAACGTCATTCCCCTCAACAACGCGGGAAAATAACCGCTGAACCTAAAAAAAAAATATCCAGCATAATTGATTGACATGTTTTCCCATGAGCGAATATTCTACCAAGAGGTTCGTTTAAAGTGCAGAAGGTTTAAAGAAAGCGCATAGACTACTTCATATCAGTACCTTGTATCAGTAATACAGTAGTCTATGATAGAAGTAAACATACCAGTCGCTGGCGATTTTTCTGTTGGTAAAACTAGCCTCCGATAACTGATAACTGATTTATGGTAGACGCCTTCCAAACGGACACTACTTAGTCTTCGATTCACGGCATCTTGCTTACCGTGCCTTCATTCTCGTGCCAAATTTACCGTCATTGGTCACCAAGTTTCCCTTCTTTTCAGTCTTGCAGCTTGCAGCCTTTGTCATACATACGTCTTTTTTACCTCACCCAGCTTTATTATTTTCCCCGCTTTTCATCTATCTCTTCAGTTTACTCCCTCCACTTCCCACTTACATTGCCTCTCCATCACATTTTTGCCCCTCTTTCTTCCACCCCATCGGTCACACCCAGTTCACCGTTTTTTTTTTCGCCTGTTCCTCTCAGTTTCCTGTCCATCAGTCCACTCCAATTGACATAGGCGGCGGAACGGGGAGGGCACCGGGGCACCGTGCCCCCCTGTGATTTTTGCATTTTAACATTAGCCCTATGGGCGTTGCATGGAAAGAATGGGACCAAAAGTCGGCACTGCCCCCCCCCCTTAATTCAGGGTGTTCCGCCGCTACTGCCAATTGTGACTGGGTGGGCTGGGTCTGACCGCAGTTGGCGCCGAGTTTCCCGCTCCGCCGCCTCCCCACTCCCTTCCAGTGACGCGATCCGGCGGCCGGCCCTCGGTGGCGCTGTTTACCGTCGCGCTGACCCGGACCTGGGGCGCGGCCCAGCCGGGGCGGGGTGTCGGCCACCGGCGCCACCGGGCGGCTGTTTATTCTCACCGGGCCGATCCCGTCGAACCGTCGGCACTGACTCGGGCGAGCCGTCGGCACCGACTCGGGCCAGCCGCCGCGGAGGACGGCAGGGTCGGCGGCGCCGGTAGGGTCGGACGGACTCCGCGGAGAACGGCGGCACGGCGGCGCTGGTAGGGTCGGACGGACCGGCGCGACCCACTGGTGGTGCGTCTGTCGGCGACCGTGTGTGACCGAGAGGCGGTTATTGGTGACCGTGTGACCGAGACGCGGTGACCGGTGACTGTGTGTGACCGAGGGGCGCCAGACTGCGAGTGTGACCGAGGTGCGGTGACCGTTGACCGGTGACCATGTGTGACTGAATCAGTGACCGATCAGCGGGAGGTGTGATCGATAACAGGTTACAGGTCACCCAGAGTGACAGCGGGCACGTGATCGGGGTCTGTGAGGAGTTAGAGATTCAGTGAATAGTCGCAGTGATTAAGGTACATATATGTAGGTACTGAAAGGTATACCTACAACCGTGACGACGTCCGCATTTGAGGTGCCATCTCTGCCTGAAAACAGTGCCCGGCTTTATCAAGACTCACCAGTACGCCTGGTGTGAGAGGTGGCCTAAGAGAGTACAAGTTGAGGTGAGCCCTCATACAATGATCAGTGATCAATAGCAGAGATCAGTGATCCGATGTATTCTCCGATTTAACGTCAGGTTAGAAGCGTAGCGTTGCCCTGCGCGAGTTCATGTCTGGTCTTCCTGGCCAGAGGGGAACGTCTCCTATTTCACCATTTTACTAAGGGTGAGACGTTAGCTCGCGCTGCGCCGGCATCCGGTGTTAGCCAAGGGGCGCTGTTTGGGCCGCATTTCGAACTATATGTTTCTTCAGATGACTAGATACTATGCAATATGTAATAGCCAATAGGTATAGTATACCTACATACACAAACCGCAGGCTCGTCAGTACTAGTGGGTACAAAAGAACGAATCACTCAACGTCAACACCCGTCTTCTACCAGGCACTCATGAGTCATGGCCTTACCCCGCGCTGGGACCCTGCCAGTCCCGCAGTAGAGACCTCTGTCCGTCACAGTGCCCCTGGGGACTCTGCACCGGGCCGGGGCCTGTTGGCTGTACTGTAGTTCCTCTCTATCCAGCCATTCAGAACTGCGCGGCGCCCTCCATAACGCCATGACCCGGATATGATCATCGCGGCCCACTCAGTACCGCTGTGACCCAAGTCTGACCCGCGCGGCGGCCAGCAATGACGCTGTGACCCAGGTCTGACCCGCGCGGCGCCCAACGTGACGCCCTGACCCGGGTCTGGCCCGCGCGGCGCCCTACATATGCAGTATGCACGGATGTACGCGGGCCGGCTGGGGCGCGGATCAGCTCTTGTTACTGTATCGATTGGACGGCGGACGGGTGTGTTTAATCCCTGGCACGCCGGCCCACTGTGCCACCGGAGCGTGCATCATACTGCTGGCGGCCGGCCAGTGCCGCGGCTACCGGCAGCTGTCTCCCTCCGTCCCTCCCCCAGCGGCTATCGGCAGCTGTCTCCCTCCCTCCCTCCCCCAGCGGCTACCGGCAGCTGCATCCCTCCTTCCCCCGACCAGTGCCGCGGTTACCGGCAGCTCTGCCCCTGCCTCCCTCCCCCGGCGGCTGCCGGCAGCTGTGTCCCTCCCTTCCTCCCTTCGCTAACCCTCGCCCGTAAACGGCGATCTGCCACCTTCGCCCATGCAGGGGGGGGGGGGGTTGGTGCGACCCCCCCCCCCTTGGCGTTTGACAACGGAGCGTCGTAGAGCTTAGCGGAAAAGACCAACGGATTGCTCTCGCCGAGATCTCGCGATTGGTGGTATATTTTTTGGTCCTAGGTCAACATTTGACCTACTTTTGACCGGTCAAAGGTCAAATTTTCGGAAAAATAGACTTTTTCAAATTTTGCGCGGCGATTGCGGCAAAACGGTGGGAGATATCGACTTGAAACCTTCACTATCGTGTTCCTTGATCAATTCTCTATCGTTTGGTATGTATTTCGTTTCCCTAGCTCTAAAAATGGCGCGTTGGGAGCGCCGGAAGTCGGCAAGGTCACAGTCGGCGGCAGAAATTCGAAAAATCAAAATTTAATTTTTTGAAATCTGATTGTATTTTTGGATTTGGGATGTCCATTTGCTCCCTATAGAAGCTAATATTGCTGCATATTCCCATTGAGGTGACAAGAATTAGCAAAATAGTGGTTCGGGCGCTTTTCAAAAATAGTACCGGACGCTGTTCCTCTTGTGACGTCATAGCTCCGTGACCTGACCTGACCCGGTCAAATTTCTTATACCATATGATAGCCAATACTTGCCCCAACATGCATGGGAAGTTTCATCACGATCCATCAACCGATGTCCGTACCACCGGCAGGAAACCTCGGGCGTTGGCACTCAGTTTGTGAAAATCCGGCCGGAGGCTGTTCCCTTTGTGACGTCATAACTCCGTGACCTGACATGACCCGGTCAAATTTTTTATCAAAAGATGCGCAAGGTTTGCCCCATAAGGTACCCAAAATTTGGCGGCGCTGCGCGCCGCCGTTTTTGCACTATTTCCGAAAAACCTCAGGGGGGGGGGTTGCACCAACCCCCCCCCCCTACATGGGCGAGGGCTAAAACATCTACCGGTAGCCTGCCTTACTGTCTGTATCCCTCCCTCTCTGGTTAGGACGGCTACCTGCCTGCTGGTTTGTCCCTTCCCTTTATCCCTCCTCGGTCAGAACGACAGCTTTTTGTGTGCCTCCTGTCGGAGTAACCGTCTCTGGTCGTCGTATAGCGCGACCGCGGCGCCCCGGTGACCGGCTGTGCAGTGGCCTCGGCCGGGTCCATCAGGCATATTTATAGCGGCACCAGCCCGTCCACACCCGGTCTGGGGTAAGGGATACCACAGCCCTACTGTACTGCTTCACAGCGGGACGGGCCACCACTGCCCCACAGCACTGGTTCACAACCGACCGGGGCGGGGGGGGGGGGGGGCGGCACAGAGGGTTCATTGCTTCCACCTGTGGTAACATTTCCGCAGCTGGATCTGATGCCCTGGACGGCCGCAGTCCTGACACTGCTACCGCGGGGTGATAACCGTTTGGCCGCCGGGAATGGGTTGCCGGCTGATTGCTGTGTGCCCACCGGGGCACATTGCCGGCTGTGTGTCCGCCGGGGACATACCTATTGCCGGCTGCTGCCCGCGCGGCCCGGCTGGGGACACATCAGTAGGTGGAACTATGGTCATGAGTACCCAAATATAGGAACGTTCCCATCTTTGGGAACGGAGTTCCCAAATATGGGAACGGGCGTTCCCATTTATGGGAACGGAAGGTAATTTTTCGGCCGTTCGCCCACTAAAACTCATTAGTGCATCACGTCTCAAAAAAGTGCACGCTAATTTAAGTATCTACTAAGTCTTTATAAAATTATCTTGAATCTGACCGTTGAACAAGGAAATTGACCGTCGAATGATATTTTTAATGATTTTTTGAAATGACGGAATGGTGAACACATCGCTTATACTACATTTAACATGCAATTTAAAGGAAAATGAAGCGTTTTTTACATTTTGAGGTCAAGTATAATAATTTTCGCCTGGTCATGAAGTTTCATACTAGCGACACCAGATGCTGACATATGCAAGCGAACACGCGGACAGTCCCGAGGTAATAGGTATTGTTGACTTTTGGTGTCGGGGCGCACGACCGCGTGGAACGTCAGTGATTTTACCGAACTACTGTTGTAAACTCAGTTTCAGTGGTTTAAAATTATTCAGCTGTATTTTATCAGCCCGGAAAGACATATTTTATTTGGATGCTAGCTATTTAGCGTTGTTTTATAAGCATGGGTGTAACTTTGTATACTTTCGAGGTCCCATGTGGGACCCCAATGCGAACATTTGGGACCCCAATTGTCATTTTGGGACCCCAATAGTGGAGGCCCCCGAGACGCACCAGCTACTTTGCAAACGGAGGTCCGATGTTCATATAAAAGGTTCTCTGTTTAAATAGGAGGCCCCTTGGACAAATCGGAGGCCCTGTTGGACAAATAGGAGGCCCCCTGAACAAGTAAGAGGCCCCCTGAACAAGTAGGAGGCCCCCTGAACAAGTAGGAGGCCCCCTGAACAAGTAGGAGGCCCCCTGAACAAGTAGGAGGCCCCCTGAACAAGTAGGAGGCCCCTGGAAAACAGGAGGCCCCCTGGAGAAATAGGAGGCCCCCTGGAGAAATAGGAGGCTCTCTGGACAAGCAGGAGGCCTCCTGGACAAATAGGAGGCCCTAGACAAATAAGAGGCCCCTAGACAAATAGTAGGCCCATGGACAAATAGGAGGCCTTCTGTACAAAAAAGAAGCCCCCTGAACAAATAGGAGGCCCCATGGACAAGTAGGAGGCCCTCTGTACAAATAGGAGGCCCCCTGCAAAAATAGGAGGCCCCCTGGACAAATAGGAGGTCCTAGACCTAGACAAACAGGAGGCCCCTTTCACAAAAGGAGGCCCCCTGGACAAATAGGAGGCCCCTTTCACAAAAGGAGGCCCCCTGGACAATTAGGAGGCCCCCTGAACAAGAAGGAGGCCCCCTGGATAAAGAGGAGGCCCCCTAAAAATAGGAGCCCTCTGGATAAATAGGAGGCCGCTCGGAAAACAAGAGGCTACTTTAACCAATAGGAGGCCCCCTGGACAAATAGGAGGCCCCCTGAACACGTAGGAGGCACGCTGGACAAATAGGAGGCCTCTTGGACAGAGGCCTCCTAGAAAAATAACAGGTCCCTTGGACAAATAGGAGGCCCCCTGGACAAATAGGGGACCTCTTGAACAAATAGGAGGCTCCATGGACAAGTAGGAGCTAGAGGCCCTCTGTACGAATAGGAGGCCCCCTGGACAAATAGAAAGCTCCCTTAACAAAAAGGAGTCCCTTCAAAAAAGGAGGCCTCGGGACAAGTAGGAGACCCTTGGACAAATAGGAGGCCCCTGCACAAATATGAGACCCCTAGTCGAATAAAAGACCCCTGGATAAATAGGAGGCCCCTGGACAAATAGGAGGCCCCTGAACACGTAGGAGGCCCCCTAGATAAAGAGGAAGCCCCCTGGAAAATAGAAGCCCCCTGGATAACTAGGGGACCTTCTGGAGAAACAGGAGGCCTCCTGGACAAATACGAGGCCCCATAGACGAATAGGAGGCCGCTTGGACAAATAGGAGGCGCCGTTAACCAATAGGAGGCCCCCTAGACAAACAGGAGGCCCTCTGTAACAGCAGGAGGCTCTCTGTACGTACAAGAGACCGGCTCTCGACCTGTAGAAGCTTAGCTGTATGTACACTAGGAGGCTCTCTGTGCAAGTAGTCGAAGTAGGAGGCTCTCTGTACTGTACCTACAATTACAAATAAGAGGCCCCCTGGGCAACTTAGATGCAACACAAATCGGAGGTCACCTATAAAAAAGCGGGACTCTGTTGGAATACCTGATTTAATAAATTATTTTCCTGATTTTCAAATTACTTAGGTAATCCTCGTCCGCACATGGGGGGAGGGGGGCAGTGGTTGCCACCCTCCCCCCCCCCCCACCCTAGGTAGTTTTTTCTGCTCTGCACTAAACATTTTGATTGCTAGAAGTCGGATGTTTCGTATAGCTGCTGCTCTATCCTTTTTTAGCGTCCACTGAAAATTTCAAGTTTCAGTGGTTTTTCGTTTCGGAGATATGACCTTATTCTTCAGGTAATGTCATAACCCAAATGACAAATACCCAATATCTTGCGTTGGCGTTGGGTCTTGTGAGCTTTTGACACCTTGATTTCGGCCTTTTTTGTCAGTCTTACCTCCCACCTATCATGGAACATGTTGTTCAATGATGTAGAGATGCCAGGGTCAGGGTCAAGGTCAACCTAGGTCGTCTAAAAATACTGCGTTTTAGGCAAGCTGAAATTACTTTCGTGAAGTTTCTTTGACTGTATTTTTGGTAAAAGCTTCTCAGTTCATGATCTCATGTAATATGGACACATTCACCATCGGTGCACACATCAGTATACACACAGACACACACAGACATACAAACACATGTCATTGACCTGGAGCTAACTTGACCTGAAATGACCACAGCCAGCAAAAACCTAGTCGGATAGTGTGACAAAGAGGTTCTAGCTGGCTTGGCACCACAATACGGCAGCGTCATCGGTATATGATGAGCAGCGCACGTGATATTCCAACGGGCAACGGTGACTCCAAACAGCAACATTCTTTAGTTTGACCTGACCTGGAAGGTCAATGACTGACCTGATGAGGTAAAATTGGTATCATTGGATTCGTCTCTTCCCAAAGAATCTGTTGCTCTTGACCGCAAGGCTTAAAATCTTGCAAGAAAAAATTGTGGTGATGTCGAATAAGATACCTACACAAGCAGCGGGCCAACCCATCATATACCGATGACGCTGCCGTATTACCGCCAAGCCAGCTAGAACAGCTCTTTGTCACATTATCCGACTAATTTGCTGGCTGTGGTCATTTCACGTCAAGTTAGGTCAAGGTCAATGATATGTGTTTGTATGTCTGTGTATGTCTGTGTATGTACTGATGTGTGCACAGATCGGTTTGTGTGTCCCTATTACACTTGATCATGAACTGAGAAGCTTTTGCCTTTTACTAAACATACAGTCAAAGAAACTTCACGAAAAGTAAATTCAGCTTGCCTAAAGCGCAATAATTTTAGATGACCTAGGTTGACCTTGACCCTGACCCTGACATCTGTACATCGCAGAACAACATGTTCAATGATAGGTGGGAGGTAAGACTGGCAAAAAAAAGCCGAAATCAGCGTGTCAAAAGCTCACAAGGCCCATAGCCATCGCAAGATATTGGGTATTCGTCATTTAGGACATGACATTACCTGAAGAACAAGGTCATATCTCCAAACCCAAAAGCCACAGAAACTTGAAATTTTCAAAGGACGCTGAGAAAAGATAGAAAAGCAGCTATACAAAAAAAAAATCAGGTTTCTAGATTTCAAAATGTTAAGTGTAGAGCAGAAAAACTAGCTTGGGGGTGGCGACCCTCCCCCCAGGTGCAGGCGAAGGTTAACCCTCACACTTTCTGGGGTCGGCTTACGGCTAGATTCCTTGCCCAATGCTGTGCCGTTAAATTTTTTCTATAATAAAGGCATTGTGTTTTATTGTCAAAAGTGAAAAGCCAGAAATTTTCGTCGATTTCGGATGCCGCGGGGGATATTTACATACAATGTCACCCTGCTGGCCTTGATCCACCAGTAGGGGCAGGTGACCTACCATTTCTTTATCAATATTCAAAAAAAAAAAAAATCATGGCATCAGAGCTGTGACGAAAAATAAGTGGCCTAAATCCGATGACAAAACTGGATTTGGGGGTACCCCAGGTTTGGCTTCTGAGCCTCTGGTCCCCTAATGAAAATTTCTTAGAGGAGGCCCTGGTGTGGTTCGTAAATTACCGCTTCCGCAATTGGAGGCCCCTAATTGCTTGGAGGCCCCCACTAAATGGAGGCCCCCTTGGACGTTTGGGACCCCAATGGTGATGTCAAAGTTTCACCCATGTTTATAAGGAGCGTCATGAGCGTGGTTTTTGTCTTCCGTGTTTCTAAGCATGATCGTTTTGGGGGAATTTCTCTTATATAGGTCGCTCTGTGTGGCTTATTTATAATTTTTATGCTGATTTCGATCATTCCTCGTGCCCATCCTACCAGGCCTTTTGCCACTTACACTCATTAAGAAAGGAAAAAAACTAGATTTTCATTGGGGCTAGGTGTTTTGAGGGTGTAACATATTCAGCGTTCCCATTTTTGGATACTTCCTTGTGCTCGTCAACTATCGGTGATAAACAGACGGGTGCTTGACATGTCTCCACCCTCGGCGCGGACGGTGGATATAGGTATGGAAGACCTTGTTGAGCATCGCCGAGCGTTGTGAATTACGTAATCCTGCAGAGGGGGGCGTGCCCCCTGCGGGATCGACGGGAAAAAGAACGCAGAACACCCGGCGAAACATGCGACGGTCTTCCCGGAAAGGTCATCTGATGATTGTTGCGTTAACAATAATTTACGGCGTTGGACGTGATGCTTGTTAATGAAAAGAGCCCCTGAAAGGCGTCGGTGAAATCGTTCCCAATTTTGGGTACGCCGTTCCCATAATAATGAACGCTTGCAGCGCCAGTGTACGAGAGCGTTCCCAAATTTGGGCTCGCGGCCGGGATGATGGACTGCTTTGGAAATAGGGGAAGGATTTGAAACTACGATGGGCCTTACAATATCAAACTCTTTCCCAACAATATTGAGGCAAATATCAGGCGGTTCACGATCGTTTTATATTTTTTGGACGTCATTTAACGGTTCTTTTTCTTGTTTTAAATAATGCCTACATGGCGTTCCCATATTTGGGTTTATCGTTCCCAAACATGGGAACGAAAATGCGTTCCCGAAAATGGGTACGCTTGACCATAGTTCCGCCTACTGACATTGCCGGCTGTGTGTCCGCCGGGGGCGGAGACATACCTATTGCCGGCTGCTGACCGCGCGGCCCGGCCGCCGGCGCTGGACGCCAGCCCAGGTGACGCAGTCAGAGGGTGTGCTGCCAGTTGCCCTTGGCTCGCCCGGCCTCGGGAATAGCGCCGCCACCCCCACCCGAACCCTCGGCGACCTCCGGAGCTGTACCCCTCCCCGACCGCTGGAACGGCTCTCCCATCACCCCACCCCTCCCCGCCCTCCGCAGATCTAATCCGTCCCCAACTTTGGAACATCGGGTCACCCTCACCCCACCCCGCCCTCCGGCGCTGTACCCCCCCCCCCCCGACCTCTGAGACAGCAGCGCCGCCCCATCCCCACCTCCACCTCGAGAACATCAATCCTCTCACCAACTCCCCCACCCCTCCCGTCCTCCAGAACTGTATCTCACCCCCACCCTCTGCGACAGTAGCCCCCTAGCCCACCCGCATACCATCCCGACCCGACCTCGGGAGCCGCTGAGAGACCGACTGCGACTGTTTCAGATAGCCGCTATAGAAATCTTAAGATCAGTAGCCTAAGTGAACCATTTTATTTCCTTGTCTCTCTCATTCTGAGAGGTCGATCAGGTTCATACGATGACCCACCAGGCATGACATTTCTCAACCATTAACTGCACTTATTTCTTCAATGACTTTTCCGCCTCTGAGTAGCGGTTCGCATCCATGGATTTTCATTCGTCGGGGTGAGACTAATTGACATTTCTTTTTTTCCAGACACTGCCGCCGGTCGATTAAAATTTCAAACCCAGAGAGATTCAACTCAGCCCAGTGAAGTAACGCATTGATGGACGAGAGCTAAAACGCAGTACCGCCCAGCCAGATGACCCCCACTGCTGAGACAGAAGTGGCCGTGGCCGTGCCGGCGACGGCGGCCCCGGCGCCGCCGGCTGCCCCGGCCCCGTCCCCGGAGAGCGGGGCGGACACGGGGGGCTGCTCGCCGCGGCCGGCGGCCGGCCCGCGGAGCCGGCTGTCGGTGCGCCAGGTGCGGCCCGACTCGCTCAGCGGAGACGACATGAGCGCCGACGTGGCCTTCCTGATCCGGCTGAAGGGCGCGCGCGGCGCGGCCGTCGACGCCGACGAGCTCAGCACGCTGGCGCCGTCTGAGAGCTCGGCGCTCACCGACGCCGACACGGACGCCACGCTGGTGGACGAGCGCGGCCCGCAGCTGGAGCAGCAGGTGGCCGCCCTGCAGCGCGAGCTGCTCCAGCAGCGCAGGAAGGTGGCCCGCCTCGAGCGGCGCAACCGCGAGCTGCTGGAGCGCGAGGCGGGCGCCGCCGCGCAGGGCCCGGCCGGCGAGCCGGAGCGTGTCCGGCTGCTGCACACCATCCACCGGCTGACGGCGCAGACCGACGACCTGCAGGACGAGAAGCGCGCTCTGGAGCAGCGCGTGCAGGAGCTGAGCGCGGCGGCGCAGCAGCGGCCGCCCGGTCTGAGCGCCGAGCGTCAGATCACCGACCTGCGGATGCGGCTGTCGAAGGCCGAGTCGCTGGCTGAGGACCTGCAGGAGGAGAACGACGAGCTGCGCCACCAGATCACCGAGATGGAGAACGAGATGGAGGAGATCCAGGACAGCTTCTGCGAGGACCAGGTCGAGGAGTACCAGGACCTCAAGAAGCAGCTGGAGCAGGCCAACAAGAACGGCAGGGTGATCCAGTTCAAACTGCGGAAGGCGGAACGCTCGCTGGAAGAGTCCCAGCAGGAGAAGGAGTCGCTGGGGAAGCAGCTGAAGGAGTTCAGGGAGTCCGGTGGCGTCTGCCGGGACCAGGTGGAGAGGCTGAAGACCGAGCTCAAACTGGCCAAAGAGGTGTCGGTGAAGCTGGGGGATGAAGTGGAGCAGCTACGGAGTAAAGACAAAACCACCGGTGGAAGGCCGCCCATGAGAAGACAGGTGAGAGTTCCATCAGTCTTCCCCTTTCATAGAAACAGAAAATTAGGTGAATTTCAAAATATGGCGGCTCATTCACCCTTCGACTTCAGACTTCAAATGCTATTTCTAAACCACGCAACGCATATAGAATTTTTTTTCGTTTTGGTGTTTACAGCTCTCAAACCGAGCAGCCATACCGCTTTCACTGTTTTCCGTTATGCGCATTGTGTTCTTCTATCGTTTGCGTCGGTACGTGTTCAGCGGCGGCGCCGTGCCTTCAGCCCTCCGCCAGCGACGAGGGCCGGCTGCTGCGCGAACTGCAGGACGCGCTGGAGCGCGAGGCCGATCTGCGCGAGCAGATGCGCTTCGCCGAGCAGGACGCGGCCGGTCTGCGCAGGAAGCTCGTCAGGGTCGAGGAGGAGAACGACGGCCTGACGGCGCAGCTCAGAAAGCTGGCCAGCAAAAGTGAGCTTAACAAGGACAGCGTGACTCAGCTGGTAGCGATTCACGATGAGTTAGCGTTTAGAGCCACCGGTTAGTGTCTGTTCACACCATTGACCTCAAGTATAGAGGTCAATGGTTCACACAGTGATTTCTTATGACCCATGCCCGAGTCTCGCCCAACTGACGGTCCCCCGCCACTGTCTTAGACCGGCGGCGGAGCTCGCGGGACCGCGCCCTGGATGGCGACGAGGGCATCGCCGAGGACATGGAGGAGCTCACCCCGCACGAGCTGAGGATTCAGCTCGAGCTGAACGAAATGGTGAGCCCACAGGACTCAGCTGGTGTCTGTCAGAGTCAGCTGGGGAGGGAGAGGACGGGCAGTCGCGCTTCTAACTATACCGAGCACCAAGTCGGGTAGTAATGGTTTGATTCTGGTGCGCATTTAATGATGCTTCATGCGTAAAATTATCATACGCTTGAACCATCGAATACTGAGTAGAGAAGGCTTTTTCATATCCGTGTTACGCATCAGATACGCATAAAGACAAAGTGAATTCATTGCCATGCATTCCTCTGTATCTAATACCACAGTACTATCGAATAACAAGGTTCTGCACATCCGGACCATAAACGCATGCGTTGTGTCCGTTACAGGAGACGGCGACCCTTCGGAGAAAAATAGAAAAGATTGAAGAAGAAAACGAGACGTTACGGATTCAAGTTGCCGAGCTGCAGCAGAAACCATCCTCTCCGAAACTGAGGAAACTCGACTCTGCCGCCAATATCAACGATCCCAATGCCTACTATGAGCACAGAATCAAGTAAGGCTGCTCTTGACATCACTTTCAAATGCATATCGGTGTAGTAATGTTACTAATGCTACGTTTTACGTCGCACTAGTGGTGGAAATGTATGCTCGTACAACACTATTACGCATCACTGTTTCTTCGTGAAGTTCAGACAGGGTTAATGCACAGCCTCAGGGGACGGTGTCTAGTAACCTGCGTAACCTAGTAGCCTAACCTGTGGTGCTGAAGTAACACCAAAAGACAATGTTAAATATTCAAACACCATCGAAACATAGCAATAATAACACATCGCCGACCATTCGTAGCGCACTATGCGCCATGCAGACTGCTGAAGGGATCGTCCTGAGAAACGGTCGACCCCCAGTCGCAGGCTGTCCATTTCCCCAAGTGACGCATGATTCGTGTGTTGAACCGCAGTGTTCTCGAGGATGAGATGAACGAAGTGCGGAAGAAGTTGATAGAAAGGGAGCGAGAAATTGACGTCCTGAAAACAGAGATGCAGATGAACCATAAGCGAGGAAGGGGACCGTTCGCCAGAGCCAGGTATGGTGCACGTTATCGAGTTATTGTTCAGAAACGAACACAGAGCACGGCATTGAGTCCGAAATCGGAATTTAAGAATTATACAACTATACCTACGTGCTTAAAATTTCAATGTTCAGACATGGCCAAGATGTTATCCTAATATGACAAAAGAAGAATGACTAAGAGATAGAGCGAAAGAGAGAGAAAAAAGTGAGAGAGAGAGAGAGAGAGAGAGAGAGAGAGAGAGAGAGAGAGAGAGAGAGAGAGAGAGGGAGAGAGAGAGAGAGAGAGAGGGAGAGAGAGAGAAGAGATAACAGCAGAGGCATGCCTGTCTGTCACGGTGTCTGTCCCTGCAGGTCACTGGATCTGCCTGACACAGTGTCTGTCCCCAGGTCACTGGATCTGCCTGACACGGCCAGTCTGGGCCGGATGCGCCAAGTGCAGTCCTGTTCCCCTGAGCACGACACCGTGGTAAGTCCAGCGCCCCCCCCCCCCCCTTCACATGCAGTTCACGTCAGATATTGCAGCAGCCAGCCCAAACTCGGGACAACTCAAACAAAGCGGACAGATTTTGGATTATCAATAGACAGGTGTGACATATTATAGTGCATGTATGGCCTAAACTTTTGAATTCATTTTAAAAGGGGGAAAAACGCAAGAAATTACCCAACGTTTCGCATTTATTGCTTAGTCATGGGACCCATGACTAAGCAATAAATGCGAAACGTTGGGTAATTTCTTGCGTTTTCCCCCTTTTAAAATGAATTCAAAAGTTTAGGCCATACATGCACTATAATATGTCACAACACGCGGACAGAGCTGACCACATTAATGACATAGCTAATATCCGATCTGCCACAGATCACCAGGTGACCGAACTGGTCGACTGTGCCGTCTAACAGACCATCAAACCCGACTGTTGAGAGCGTGAGGGCACACCAACAGGTTGGTTACTTAACCTGAATAGAAACGGTCTACTTAGCATCTAAATCAAGTCGAGTGAGAAGTGTGTGAAGTGAGAATACTTACCTATAATTTCATGTGAGTAGACTCCATGATAAATATGCACATGACCTTCGAGGGTCCAGCAGCTGCCCGATATATCCACGTTAACTTCGCTATGTCTCTAAGATAACAAGACAGGGGCGGCGGATTCGGGGGGGCAGGGGGGGGCAGCTGCCCCCCTGGCAAACTCGTGGGGGGGCAAAAGTATCTTTTTGCCCCCCCATAATTTGTGACAAAACTTAGGCAAGAAACCATCTACCTGTTTATTCCGTTCGATCATCTGAAGATGTAACCAGATTAACTATTCTTTATCATACGTTGCCTTTCTTAAATGACAAGCGTTCGCGCTCAATTGAAGTTTCCCTCTCTTCAACCTAGTTTTGGAGGCATTATAAGCGTTAGCGTGACGCAGCAGCAACCCAGGCCTTCAGTGACCGCTTACAGGGGCGACGGATACGGGGCGGCAGAGGAGGCATCGTTCCCTAAGAAACTTTTGGAGAAGGGGCAAACGTAGTATTCTGCCCCTCCATAATTTGTGCCCTGTACATGAGGAAAATGTCCATAACCTGATATTGCAGCTATGCGCTTCTACAGTTTGTCCAACGGTGCCTTTTGAATATGTGTAAATGCTAACCAATAACCATTTCCGCTTTATAGCCTTTTTGTCTTTTCAGATTCGATTTAGATATATTTTAAGTGCGCAAGAGACGCAACTCATACCTTCAGTGGTCGTTTGCCGCTATTTTGTACCTACAGTCCTCTGCAAACTGCGTGGTAGGTATTATTTTTTTTTCGACAAAACCGAGAATGAAGCTGGGTTGGAAATGCTTCGTCTTTGCAGATATCACTGGCCGCTGATTCTCTAGTGCCTGAACCGGTAGATGTCGTGGCAAAATTTGGTGTGATAATTTGGACCTTACCGCAGTCAGCGCACCCTAAAGCCCTAATAAAGAAATACCCCACCCAGAGCTTCTGGATCCTCGTTCCAGTCCACCATTCCTTCACCCTAGCCCGCCGACGCGCCCCCTCACCTCAGACCTCCATTCCCAGCTTGACGAGCGTTTGGGCCTTAGTTAAGCCTTGCTGTAGGCTTACTGTATAAACCCATCGAGACAGCCCGTCTCGGTGAGCTTAGTTGGCGAACTACTGCCTTGGGGTGGGTTTCTGGCGGATCGCTGTCCCAATAGGTTAACCCTCGCCCGTAAACAGTGTTTTGCCACCTTCGCCCATGCAGGGGGGGGGGGGGGGTTGGTGCGACCCCCTGGCGGTTGAAAATGGAGCGTCGTAGAGCTTAGCGGAAAAAACCAACGGATTGCTCTCAACGAGATCTCGCGATTGGTGGTATATTTTTTGGTCCTGGATCAACATTTGACCTACTTATGACCGGTCAAAGGTCAAATTTTCGGAAAAATCTAACTTTTCAGATTTCCGCGCCGATTGCGGCAAAACGGTAAGAGATATCGACTTGAAACCTTCACTATCGTGATCCTGGATCAATTCTCCATCGTTTGGTGTGTATTTCGATGTCATAACTCTAAAAATGATGCGTTGGGAGCATCGGAAGTCTGCAAGGTCATTTGTGCGTTGGGTCACGTCAGGCGTGTGACGTCACTGACCTGACCATGCCCCAAAATGAACTACAAGAAACAACCGACGATGCCTGAAATGGATAGCAAACTCGAATTCAGGGCATCAAAATACCCCGAAAAGGCATACAGGTGCAAGAAGTCATTACAGGTCAACCGAGGTCACTGACCTTACCTTGCCCTTTAGTAACCTTCAAAATGTCAACGGACATTGTGCCAATGTCAAATCAGCCAGTTGTGATTCTAAAACAATCCATCAGTGTGTCAGGTCAGTCGGCATTTATACCAATGTGAAGCAATCTCCAATTTAGCGTAAATCTGGCCGGAGGTTGTTCCCTTTATGACGTTATAACTCCGTGACCTGATATGACCTTGACAAAAAAATACCAAAAGTTGCGCAAAGGATATCCCAAAGGGTACTGAAAATTTGAGCAGGCTATCTGAAACGGTTCGGCGTGTAGCTAAGAAAAACCTCAGGGAGGGGTTGCACCACCACCCCCCTACATGGGCGAGGGTTAAGATGCGACCGACTGTCTCTGAATGTTTGAGCGGTCTCCTCCCGCTGTGAGCTAGTTTCAGTTGATATCTGTCTCAGAAATACTTTTTAAAGGAAGGTTAAACGGAAATCGAACGTAAAATGAACAGAGGAAATGGTAACGAGCTACCTCATTGAAGAACAGCGCTCGCCTACTTCAAAAGGTTTGGCACCGTTCTTCAACATTATGGCACAATTTTTCCCATTGGAGTTTTTTTTTCTAATACAACAATACGAAAATCGTTACATCGTCCACTGGCGGATCCAGGGAGCGGGCATTAAAAGCAAATATTTACTCCCCCTCCCCCTGCATCGCCCGAAATAGACAAAACGTATATACCCTATGTTTCCTAATAATAAAACTTTATCAGGAATGTTTTTGCTTTATACTGTTCAGCAGTATAAAAGAATCGAAATCCGAGGAGTTTTTGGATTTTAGACACTTTTTTTTTGGGGGGGGGTATGTCCCCTACAGCGTCGAAAACGCCTTTCTGGATCCGTCTATGACATCATCTCGACTGGGATCTTGCCCCCCCCCCCACGCCAAAATCGAATCCGCCGCCACTGTAACAAGAACTGACTTTCTCTCAAGTTCTTACAAAACGAATAAGACAATTAATTCGGCTAATTCATTATCAGTACAATTATTTCATTTCGATATCTTTGTTCATTGTTGCACGCACATATATTCCACAGAAAGCTAGGTTGGTACACTTAAAGCGTAGGTAATGTTTCGTCCGTTGTGTACTGAATCATCTAGGCATTCAATGTATATCATCTTCAGCTGAAGATGATATACATCTTCAGCTGAAAAGCTGAAATTTCGTCCCGTCCTCTCCTCTCAAACATCACTGTCAGGTTTCTCCACGACCCTGAACGAGACCGCTACCTGACTGCCGGGGTAATTTTGGCTTTCCCTCACAATGTATGCTGAGATATGACGAGGAGCGTGCCTAACCAAAGCCGACAACCGAATGTTAAATAAACAGGCCTTTCACGCGAACCTTAGCTGGTTTTCGTAGGCTCAAGGAATGCGAAGTTTGATTTCACCTCGAAACTTTGGCGATGTATAGGAGGTAAAATGTGCATGCAACTACACACATGTATATCGTACAGGCTTATACGTTTCCAGCTAGGCTGAGAGTGTAACACCAATTATGGATAGGCGTACGGACGAAGATGTAGGATAAGGAAGTTTCAAGCTGGTGACATCAGTGTCGCCCTAGACCCGCAACCACCTGTACTGATGTCACCTGTGGGTGTAGAGGGATGGCAGTTATACAGACCCTATGCATGGGAGCCATGGGAGCACGCTGACCGTGGCTGGACGTCCCCAGGAGCGACCTCCAGCGGAGCCGGCCGGCGGCCCCGAGCACGGAGCTGCGCCGCACGGGGGCGCGGAGCCGGAGCAGGGGAGCGGCGGGACGGGCGGTGTCAGAGAGACGGCCCTGCACAGCGGAGTCCCTCCGAGTGCAGCTCTTCAAGGTGCGCCGTGCGGTCCTGTCCCTTCGGCGGGAGCGTCCAGTCCCCCCGGCGGGGAGGTCCAGTCACTCCAACTCCTCAGTCACCCAGACTGGGGCCAGTGCCCCGTAGGCGGCGGAACGGGGAGGGCACCGGGGCACCGCGCCCCCCTTTGATTTTGGCATTTTAACATTAGCCCTATGGGCGTTGCAGGGAAAAAATGGGACCAAAAGTCGGCAGTGCCCCCCCCTCCCTTAATTGAAGGTGTTCCGCCGCCACTGGCCAGTGCACGCGGTGGACTCGAAAGCAGCGTTAATATTTCACAGAGAATAACCAATTATAGCCAATTGCTTCTAGATATACTATGTGTGGATAACATTTTCATCGCAGGCGTTTTATTCACAGAACTAGAAATGGAGCTTAAAAGTCAAAAGCAGAGTTTCGAAGAGCTGGCACGAAAACATGAGATCCTGGAAGAAAATTACGCTGAATTGAAGGCGCAGAGCAGTTTAGAAAGGGACCAGCTTGACGGGTGAGTCAAACGATCCATCATCATCATTTACGAGTTGACGATAACATGCACCAGTACCTAAGTGTTTCCGTGTTCAGGGAAAGGGTAAACTGAGCAAAATAGTGTCCATTCAACGATCTCATCGATAATTTCATTCTCAGTAAATTGAAGTACGACTGCTTTTCATTTTGCGAGATCACCGTGCGTATCGAGTTTCTTTTTTGCAGTCAATATACCGTAGGTAGGTACTGTAGCTCGATTGTTTCCCCCGCAGCGACTTCACCGTACTGTAGCTCGATTGTTTCCCCCGCAGTGAGTTCACCGTACTGAAACACTCCCCGCAGTGAGTTCACCGCACTGTAGCTCGATTGTTTCTCCCCGCAGTGAGTGTACCGTACTGTAGCTCGACTGTTCCCCCCGCAGCGAATTTACCGTGCTGAAACACGAGTACGACGCCGTCCAGAGCGAGCTGAGGTCTCTGAGGGAGGCGCACAGCAGTCAGCAGGACCAGTGGCTTCGGGAGAAGCTGAACCTCGAACAGCGGGTGGGTGCCTCACAATCCAGCTCTCCTCTCATTGCTCCGGGAGAAGCTGAGTCTCGAACAGCGGGTGGGTGCCTCACAATCCAGCTCTCCTCTCATTGCTCCGGGGGAAGCTGAACCTCGAACAGCGGGTGGGTGCCTCACAACCCCTCTCCTCTCATTGCTCCGGGGGAAGCTGAACCTCGAACAGCGGGTGGGTGCCTCACAATCCAGCTCTCCTCTCATTGCTCCGGGGGAAGCTGAACCTCGAACAGCGGGTGGGTGCCTCACAATCCAGCTCTCCTCTCATTGCTCCGGGGGAAGCTGAACCTCGAACAGCGGGTGGGTGCCTCACAATCCAGCTCTCCTCTCATTGCTCCGGGGGAAGCTGAACCTCGAACAGCGGGTGGGTGCCTCACAATCCAGCTCTCCTCTCATTGCTCCGGGGGAAGCTGAACCTCGAACAGCGGGTGGGTGCCTCACCGTCCTCACTGCTCCGGGGTGTCTTTTCGTCCCTCTGGTGGCTGCGGTACGTGTCTTTCCGTCCCTCTGGAAGCTGCGGTGGCTGTCTTTTCGTCCCTCTGGTGGCTGCAGTTGGTGTCTATTCGCACTTTTGGTGGCTGTGGTGGCCGGTGGGTGTATTTTCGTCCCTCTCGTGGCTGCGGTGGGTGTCTTTCTATCACTCTGGTAACTGCAGTAGGTGTCAACTGTCAATTGATGAGAGAGCAAGATCGTGATGTAAAGATGTCTGTCATTGTGTATGTAGAACTGTGATCATTTTACTATGACTGGAGATAAAAAGCAAAGGTCAGTGTCGAGAGTTGCGCCATCCATCTCATGATAAGTTACAAGTGACGCAAAGAAAAAGACTCTCCAGAACGGTCCACGATCAAGGGCGGTGTTTTAGCACAAAAGAGCCATGTTGCACTCTCGGTTATCGGCGCCCCACTGCCAAGGGCTGCTGCTGCGTCCGAGTGGCGGCTGAAGTGGGAAAATTCAGAGAATCAGCCGACTTCTTACACGATGAGCTCACCGCGACAAACACTCGAGATGGAGCCACGGAGTCGCCCGGTCTCCCCCCCCCCCCCGCTCACGCCACCCACGCGGTACCCACTGCGGCGCGGCCGCCACGACGGAGATGAGTCGCAGAACAGCGACAACCCCCAGAGAACTCCGCAGAGTTTGTTCACAATTTGAGGCCTCATTGGCGCTAAGATTCCTTTGAAGGTGAAGCTTCCGCCACAAATCAGCATCTCACGGTGCATGGCAGAGGCGCCTTTCACCGGCACTTTACGAATAATGAAATAGCGTTATGTCAGTACATAAAAATCCCACAACGCAACGCAAGTACTCAGTGTTCGAGGTCTTATACCACGTGGCTGATCGGCGATCACCTATTGCGACCTTTTCACTGAGAACGATGAGGATTCAATCATATGCGTGCTCACGTGTTGTGTCTAACCGCTGGCCCTTTTGCCAGGCGAAGGAGGCTGAGAAGCGCTGGGGAGTGCGGGCAGAGGAGACCTCCTGGAAACTGGAGAAAATGAGACTCCAAGAGTCGCTGCGGGAGAAAAACGAAGAAATCGACAAATTAGAGAAGTCTAAACTCTCCCAGAAACAAGATATCGAGGACATCAGGAAGGATGTAAGCAAAGCTTTGTTGCTATAAAGAACAGATCATTAGCCATTCAAAGATTCAGCAGGCATGTTTACGGTATTTGCAAGATAAGGACCTCCGCTATTCTTCCACAGAATCATCCCGTCACTATGGGTCGCCCTTTGTAAGGCAGTCCGACCACTGACATAGCGGCCCATCAGGGGTGGCTGGTCTGACACACGTTTCACTCCGTAATGCCGTGTTGCATATACAGTCGTCACCAGTTGACCACTGGGAACTGCAGCTCGGCGCTGTTACCGGCCGTCCCGCCGTTTCAGATGGAGCGGCAGCTGGTCACGGCTCGGGCCGCCGGCAGCAGGGCGCTGGAGCAGGAGAAACTGCAGCTCCAGCAGGAGCTCGCCTCCAGCCAACTGACAACCGACCAGGTACGCCGCCACGTCAGACACCTTCATCTCAGGTAATCTGTATTCGTATGATGATGGGAACAAACGAACAATGCGGTCGATATCACAAAAACGGCGCCGGTAAGCACTAACACGGAACGGTGACTCGTCACACAGGTAAACAGCCGACACTTGAGATGTGTCTCATACACTCACGGCCGTCACGATAGGCGGACGCTGCGCAAATCCTGCTCCGCCGAGAACAGCAGCCCCCTGCGACCCCGCCAGCGCCCGCGCCGGCCCAGCGACTAATCAGCGACAAACGCACTGAGCCACGTGAACGGTAGCAGCTGTCGTAAACGGATCTACAGTCATTGACGGTCACAATGACGAGTACATTTCGACAACGCGATTCATATTTCGGTGCGCAAACACGGGTAAATCGCCGTTCATCATCAGCTCTCCATTCGTTGGCCGTCGACGTATCTAAATAGTCCAGTCGGCAAGGTGCGCTCCCGTATTGCACCGTGTATTGTTTGCAGTTGTGCCCCCTCCCACCCGGGGGCCCCGGACTGCTAGCGCCCCGACGGTCGGAAGGGCAGCAGGTCGCAGTGGCAGAGGAGGCCGCCATCGCCGAGCAGACACAGGTCGTAGCAGATGATGTCCCAGTCGGGATCCTCGCCCGGCGCGCTCGTGGTGCCCTGCGCGCCCCCGTCACCGTCCCCGTCGCCCGGTGCCGTCGCCGCCAGTGTCCGGTCGGGCACGGCCGCGGCCACGGCCACCGCGGCGGGTCGAGGTCGGGCCGCCGGTGCCGAGCAGTCGCACAGGCTGGTGGTCGGGTTGAGGGCGCACAGCGCGGCGCAGCGGCGGCGCAGCGCGGCCGCCTTCCGCCGGCGGCCGGCCCAGGAGGTCGGCGGCCGCAGGCAGTTGCAGAAGCTGCCGCCCTCGCCGGCGGCGCACAGCTTGGCGCACATCTCGTCATAGTCGGGCGTGGGCGCCGGCGGCCGGCTGGTCGGCGGCGACGTCGGAGGGGCGGGGGCCGGAGTAGTTGGAGGGGGAGGAGCGGGACTGGTCGGAGGGGGAGGAGCGGGGCTGGTAGGAGGGGGAGGAGCGGGGCTGGTAGGAGGGGGAGGAGCGGGGCTGGTCGGCGGTGGAGGAGCAGGGCTGGTGGGAGGAGGAGGAGCGGGGCTGGTGGGAGGGGGAGGAGCGGGGCTGGTCGGAGGGGGAGGAGCGGGGCTGGTCGGCGGTGGAGGAGCAGGAGAGGTAGGAGGTGGAGGAGCGGGGCTGGTGGGAGGGGGAGGAGCGGGGCTGGTCGGAGGGGGAGGAGCGGGGCTGGTCCGCGGAGGAGGAGCGGGACTGGTCGAAGGAGGAGGGGCAGGACTGGTCCGCGGAGGTGGAGGAGCGGGACTGGTCGAAGGTGGAGGGGCAGGGCTGGTCGGTGGTGGAGGAGCGGGGCTGGTCGGAGGGGGAGGAGCGGGGCTGGTCGGCGGTGGAGGAGCAGGAGAGGTAGGAGGAGGAGGGGCAGGGCTGGTCGGAGGAGGAGGAGAGGGGCTGGTGGGAGGAGGAGGAGAGGGGCTGGTCGGAGGAGGAGGAGAGGGGCTGGTCGGAGGAGGAGGAGTGGGGCTAGTCCGCGGAGGAGCGGGGCTGGTCGGAGGGGGAGGAGTGGGGCTGGTAGGAAGAGGAGGAGCGGGACTGGTCGGCGGTGGAGGAGCAGGAGAGGTAGGAGGAGGAGGAGTGGGGCTAGTCCGCGGAGGAGCGGGACTGGTCGGAGGAGGAGGGGCAGGACTAGTCGGCGGCGGCGGGCTGGCGGCGCGCAGGCCGCTCTCCAGCCGGCGCCAGGTGCGGTCCGGCCTCCAGTGCGGCAGCTGCAGGTCGGGCCGCGGTGCGGTCCGGCGGAGCTGGCAGAGCCGGCACGCGGCGCTCTCCGGCTCGTGTTGCGCCACGCCGCACAGCTGGCTGCAGGAGGCGCCGGGCAGCCGGGCCGCGGCGGCCGGCGGACGCGGCAGGGCGCACACCGCGCTCAGACCGCCGGTCAGCAGCAGCGCGCCGGCCACCAGTGCAGCGGACCGCATCGCTCCGGGTCCTGAAACACGGACAGCAGCCGTCGGACGGAGCAGTCACACCGGCCCGCAACGGACGTAGATAGTTCGTAATGTACCAATTGTTCATTAAAACGCAGACGCAAACTCACGGTGGATTAAGATCTTAAAGCCAAACGGTTCAATATGTTCGATGTTTTCATGTTCCATCAAATAAGTGCCCGTAGGTACTGTGAACTTCAGTAGGTCCAGAAACGTTGCCGTTGGTCTGTCACACCGCACACGGTGCAATCCATCTTTGAAACAAATGCCTATCCTATGAGCATCACCAGTCCTTAGCGGGCAGGTACGTTGCAGCGCTTATAATACGTATTATGTATAGGTTAATGTTGGGTAAGCAATAAGCATTACTTACGGATTCCATGCCACTATTTTACATTTGCTTATCATTCTACATAAACATTGTGTCCTTGTTCCTACTTGGCATGAAACTAGAGCCCTTATTATAATCAGCAGCGCTCTGAACTACCTATAGTTAGCCGTGCTTTTAGGCAACAACAGTGGGCGGACATGAATTAAGCAGCCATCGTGCAAAAGAAGAGACTGGAAACTTCTTAATTTCAAACGCATATCCTCTGCTCCAACAAATCTAGCCAAAAAGCATCCCTCGCTCCTGAAGCAGTGAGCAGCGCGCATCACTCACCGTCGGTGAAGATGTAAGAAGTAAGATCCCGCGGCGGTGCGGCAGGACAGGTCGGGTCGCCGCTGGTGCAGGTGTAAGCGGCGGTGCGGAGGGGTAGTTTAGTTTTACGGCAGGTGGGGACTGGGCTGGCCGCCGGTGCGGACGGGACACCACTGAGGTGCGCGGCCGGCGGCACCCGGTAGTGGCCGGCGCGCCAGCGGCCCTCGCCGGCGGCCGATAGGAGGCGGCCCGCCGCGCCGATACGGCGCCGCCACAGCACGCGCCGTAGTCGTGCTCGGCCGGGTCGGTGCACCGCCGCCGTGGGCTGACCGAGACGCCGCCGGGAATTAACGCACTTACCAGTGCTCACAAAACATAACAATGATTCAGCCAGTATGTGACAAAGTGAACATTGGCCCACGTAGAAACAGGATAAACAATGAGTATTGCCAATCCACTTTGCATTCGCCAGCGTTCGTACGCTCGTTTGTAAAGCGCATATACTGATTATATAGGTATAGTTGCCAATCTTCGGCAAATGCAAAAAAGTAGACGTCGAAGGTTTCCGTATTTTCCAACCCTAGAAGATACCGCCAGAATAGGTATATCGTCGTTCAGGTCACCTAACCCGGATGTGAGAAAACGGCCTCGAGTCTGGGAGATTACAAAAACCGCCCATCATCGTATTATCGAAACCTCCATTCGGCGTTCGAGATCTTTATTGTCGTGTTTGTCGCAAGCAGCCTTGGAGCGAGAAAAGCCCCTCTGGCGCCAGCTGCTTTTCAGCTGAAACTGTAATCGCTATGCTAGAAAAATAACCCCATAGTCGGCTGTCTGTAATAGAAACATTAATGACGCGTAGATATAACTTCTTTGGTAGCTAGCAACTGGCACGAACGGCCATGGACGTAATTTTATGAATGATATTTGAAAAAATAAGTAGTTTCTACGCCCTGCAGGGCATGGGGAGCGGTCCATGCAGCAACTATGCTCTTTAATCGGTGTCACCCGAGGGTAATACCTGTCAGGCGTCAAGGACGGCTTACTAGCCTCAGAGTTGGCCCTGCCGGCGCCTGTGAGCTCGAGCCGCCTGACAGAAATGACACCAGCCGTGGCAGGTCATCGCCAGTGGCTTTGTGCGCGCGGGCGGGTCGGAAGTGCCAAGCGAGGTTCAACGCAGACCCCCAACAAGGAGCCAGCACGAACAAGCGACACACGGCGCTGGGACGCGCCCTCAGTCTGCACCGTACTGATGGGACATCGCACCACCAGACCCGCAGGCACACACGCATTGCACAATGTCGGTCATATCACTCCGCTCTGACCCCCCGCTGCTGCCCCGTGTGACACCCCCAGCTGCCATGTTCTGACCCCCGCTGCCGCCCCTCCCTTCGTCCCAACTGCAGTGCTCTGGCCCCCGCTGCTGCCCCTCCCCTGGCATTGTGTCCCCAGCTGCAGGTAACCCCGCTGCCGCCCCGTGTCCCCAGCTGCAGGTAACCCCGCCGCTGTCCCGTGTCCCCAGCCGCAGGTAACCCCGCCGCTGCCCCGTGCCCCGTGTCCCCAGCTGCAGGTAACCCCGCTGCCCCGTGTCCCCGTGTCCCCAGCTGCAGGTAACCCCGCTGCCGCCCCGTGTCCCCGTGTCCCCAGCTGCAGGTAACTCCGCCGCTGCCCCGTGCCCCGTGTCCCCAGCTGCAGGTAACCCCGCTGCCCCGTGTCCCCGTGTCCCCAGCTGCAGGTAACCCCGCTGCCGCCCCGTGTCCCCGTGTCCCCAGCTGCAGGTAACTCCGCCGCTGCCCCGTGTCCCCAGCTGGCCTGCAGGTAACCCCGCTGCTGGCCCGTGCCCCCGTGTCCCCAGCTGCAGCAGGACCTGCTGGAGCTGAGGGCGGCACACGCCAAGCTGCGCGAGGCGCACCGGCGCGTGCTGCGGGAGAGGGACGGCTGCGAGCGGGAGCGGGCCGAGCTGGTGGGACGGCACCACCAGCTGCTCAGGGCCGCCGAGCGCCAGGAGAGCAGCGTCACACACATCGCTGGGCAGGTAGGTACCCACTGAACTCTATAATGTGGAAGGCACATCGGCCGCCAGATGGTGTCCAACGGTGCCGCCATGTTGCGCAGACCAGGAAGCGGCCGCCGCCTGTGTTGGGGAATAGGGAATTCGGGACCTCGATTTACGTTTGCGGCCGCTGCATCCGTTACGTTCAAGCTATGTAGACACGGAACCCGGCATCTTATGCAGAATTGAGTGGAGAACAAGGTGACACCTTTAAAAATCCTCAGATACAGGGAACTTATACGTTAAACCTTTATAAGTCAATGGGGAAATATGGAAACTGCTATTTTAGCGCCGGTAATGATCTGAAACTATATCAAGCATATAGAATCGTGATTTCATGCACTCCTTGCAAGGTCCGATGCTTCACATTTGCATTGTTGCCCTTGCGTGACGTCATATGTGACGTCACAAGGGTCATAAAGTTTTCTTCAATAACTCCAGATCAAATTAAGCTAGCGAATCGGGACAGCCACAAATGGACTCAGAAAGACCTACCGAATCGAATGATATGCAACATGACCTCACTCGACCAGCTTCGCGACCTGAGAGCTCTGACCTGACCTTGTCACGAGGTCAATGCCTTAAGTTGACCTCACCCGAACAAAAAGCATATCACTCGATGCGCCTGAGCTAGGTGAACACGATGGTGCCAAAATCGCGGCTCTGCGGGCATTTTTGACGAAGTTATTCACCAAAAACCGAACCCGTTCCTTAGGTCACTTGACCTGACCTCAGAGGTCACCGGTTGACCTGAGACCTTTAAAACGGATTCCTACCAGTCACTCTGCATTGTGCTCTACCGCATACGACCACTTTACCGCTAAATTTTAGTTAAATTACCGGCGCATTAGCGAGGTGGGTTCAATCAACCCTCTCGGCCGGGGCAAATGTAGAGAGACGATGGTCCGGCGAGTGAATTTGAGGAATTCTGAAGATTCCATCGTATTCCCCACTCAATTTCGCGTAAGATATCGTGTTCCGTATCGACGTAGCTTGAACGTAACGGATGCAGCGGCGCGGCCGCAAACGTAAATTGAGGTCCCGAATTCCCTATTCCTCAACACAGGCGGCAGCCGTTTCTTGGTCTGCGCAATATGGCCGCCACCGTTAGACACTACGGCCAATAGGGTTGAAGCGGCAGTGCTCCCCTGTGTAGGTACCCAAAGGGGGACACATCACACAGGTCACTGGACAGAGACGGAGGTCACTGGACAGACAGGAGGACAGAGGTCACTGGACAGGGACGGAGGTCACTGGACAGACAGGAGGACAGAGGTCACTGCGGGTCAGAGACGGACGAACACTGGATAGGGACAAAGAGTCAGAGGTCACTGGACAGGGACGGAGGACAGGTCACTGGACAGAGCCCACTGGAAAGCGTCGGGAGACAGAGGTCAATGGAAATTCATGAAGGCTTTGGCCACTGACGTGTCAAAACTCCTGAAACTTTCCTAAGTCGATGTATGAACGGATGCAAGGCAACACATCGGATCATTTTTAGTTTCTTTTGGAAACTCGCACAGAAAAATAACGACTACCTTCTCAGTTGTCTGTGACTGTGTAGACACCCTAATATGAAACATTAATGTACGACTCTGGTCACCTTTTACGCTGTCCTCTCTTTCAGATTGATAAAGTCAGCGAGCTGGTACCTTTGGTGATTAAAGGTATGTTAAGACAACGGGCTACCATATAGTCACAAGCAACGAACATCTATTATGCGAGGTGTGACAACAAAGTATTACCGTAAGAATATCTCATACTTTATGCGATATTAAAAAAAAACGCATTTTCAGATTAACCAAATATGGTTTATAGGTCTATATGCAAAAAAGATGGTGCCGTGGTATGATGTTGAAAAAATCCTGTTTGTGCTAAATGTCAGCTCTGTATAAATACACAGAGGTATATGTCAGCAGCTCACACGCATAGTGCGCCGTGTGGGTCCTCGGCGGTCTCGCGGCTGACCGGTCAGTGTCGCGTCCCCCACAGGCTCCCGGCTGACCGGTCAGTGTCCCCCCCCCCCCAGTCTCTCGGCTGACCGGTCAGTGTCGCACCCCCCCCCCCCCCCACAGGCTCCCGGCTGACCGGTCAGTGTCGTCCCCCACAGGTTCCCGGCTGACCGGTTAGTGTCGCGCCCCCCCCCCCCCCCAGTCTCGCGGCTGACCGGCCAGTGTCGCGTCCCCCCCCCCAGTCTCTCGGCTGACCGGTTAGTGTCGCGCCCCCCACAGGCTCCCGGCTGACCGGTCAGTGCCCCCTCCCCCCCCCCACACACACAGGCTTGCAGCTGACCAGTCAGTATCGCGCCCCACAGTCTCCCAGCTTAACAGTCAGTGTCGCGGTCCCCACAGGCTCTCGGCTGACCGGTCAGTGTCGCCCCCTCCCCCCGTCTCCCGGCTGACCGGTTAGTGTCGCCCCCCCCCCCCCAGTCTCTCGGCTGACCGGTCAGTGTCTCCCCCACAGGCTCTCGGCTGACCGGTCAGCGGGAGAAGGACCACGCGCAGTTGCAGCAGACGGTGGCCGCGCTGGCCGAGGGCGCCCGCCAGCTGCGCGACGGTCTGCAGGTGCTGGATGACGCGCGCGAGCGGTGTCCGCCGGCGCGCCGGCCCAGGAGCTACCAGCGGTGAGTCGCCAGCAGCGACCGCTAGTGAAAACCACCGCCCTATACCGCATCAGCCAGCTCAACAGAGCGGCACACGGCCGAATTTGTGCTTCTACCGTGAACATGTGTATGTAACGTGACCAGTTGTCCCTTCCGTGGCCCGATGTCCCTACCGTGACCTATTGCCCGTACCATGACCCGGTGCTTGGATGACCCGATGTCGGTGATGGTTGTCGCGCAGCTCGGCGTCGGCGGGCGCCTCGCCGGCCGGCGGCGGCGCACCGACCGAGCCCGGCTACCGGTCCCCGTACCCCAGCCTACCGGGCAGCCCGCCGCGACCACCCTCGGGCCAGCTGGCCAGGAGAGCCGCCTCCATGGGGCTACGCGGCTCCTCTCAGGTCAGACTGCAATCACTAACACACCGAACAACTGTAACGGTGCGCCAACCGGCTGTGAGAAAACGGAGAAACTCGTACAATAAAATGGGTTTAAGCTGAGTCATTGCACAGGCACGGTGTGTCCACCTAATCAGAATTGTGCGGGAACAAAGCACAACATATCTGAAATGTATTATACCATGTCCGCTATATAAACTTCTTCTGGTCGTTCCCGACGCGTGTGTCACGGGGAGGGACAGGGTGGCTCCGTCTGACCCTAACCCACGCTCCGGCCACCAGGACTCGGTCTACCACCGGGATGAGGGCTCCGTGGAGTCTCTGGGGCCGTTCCACTATCAGACGCTGCCCAGAATCAAACTCAACGACGACCCCAACTTCGACAGGTGAGGAGCTCACTGCCCACTGTTCAGTGTGAGGTGTAAAAGGCAATAGGCGTGGACGCCGTCCGTTATCCAGTGGTGGTCACTCACTGTTTAGCATTATAACGGCCGCACATACACCGTTCTGTGTAAAGTGTGTAGTGTTGGATGATATTCGATAGTACCCGCTTAGCTTAGAGCCAGCAATGGATGCCTGCCAGCCCTCACCCCACCCACCGCCCTGCTGTAGAGTATCCACCGAGTCGACCCAGAGTGAGATCGTGAACGGAGCAGCGGCCGTGAAGAAGAAAGGAGCCCTGCGCGGCCTGTTCAGAGGCTGGTCCAGGAGCAAGAGCGTCGACACGATGGGCTCCAGCTCGGACCTGGAGACATCACCCCCAGCCGACTCAGAGGCAAGGCGCCAGCACAAAGTTCGAGTTCTGAGTCGATAATTTGTTGGCATGTCTGTTAATAGTGTGGGATTAGATAGATGTGCAAACAGTACTTATTCGTTCAGTTTCCATTTTCGAGGCGTATAAGGTGACTTAATTGCATTGTTATGAAGAGACCGAATACAATAACATGCGCTACCAAATCTCTACAGCCTGGGAGTCCACCGACCGAGGCGCCCCCTGCAAACGAGCCGGCACACACCTCCATTGCCGTGAAGACGGAGCCAGGTCCGAAGATCAAAAAGAAAATCGGAAAACTCTTCAGGACAGCGTCACCAGCCAACACCAGGAAGTAAGGCATTGTTTGTTCGTTTGTTTGTTTCTTTGTTTGCTTGTTTTGCCTTTACATAGTTGACTACTTGGACCATCACCGTTGACTCACGTTGTCATTATCATCCAAGCTTAGAACATGTCCGCAGACCGCAGGAATTTTGCCCGAGTTGCCTTGGTGGCCTTAGCAAAGCATGTCAGCATATAGCTAGGCTACGAAGCATTTCCCAATAACCATAAGAACAAAAGTATGTGCAAACTGCGAAAAGTATGTTCATTTGGCCAGCGTCCACATCGTTTGCACTTTGCAGACATGAGGATGTTTTGGATCCGGCGGCGAGACACCAGAAGAAGGAAGAACGGGCGGTCGATAGGAGGTCGCCAGCCAAGGCTGAGGCCCGAGGGCGCTCCGGGACGGCCACGGAGCCGCGGACCGAGCCGGGCTCAGCTGCGGAGAGTCCGGTGCGGCGCACTGAGCCGGCGGCGGCCCCGGCCCCAGTTCCGGGAACTGCCCCGACCACGACCCTGACCGCGGTCCCGGCCACGGCTCCGTTCAGGAACCCGCCGGTGGCCGTCAGGACGCCGCTCTCCCTCTCACCGGCGGTAAGGAGCTTAGTCAGCGCCGCAACTACTCCTCTAAAAGCATAGGAGCCAGACTGGCGCCAAAACAACTCCTTTGCCGGCGTAGAAGCCACGAAAAAATCCTAACAGCGTAGGAGCCAGACTAGCGCCACAACAACTCCTCTACCAGTGTTGGAACCTCTCAACAACTCCGTAACAGCCAGTCCTCTACCAGCGTAACTGTAAGAGCCACAACCACTCCTCTAATAGCCTAAGAGCGGGCCAACTAACAACTCCTCTACCAGAGTAGCCGCCACACTAGTGCCGCAACAACTCACCTACTACGTAGGAGTCAGAATAGCGCCACAACGTTCACAGAGAGACAGATGCATAGTGCATACCAATCCCTCTCAACAGGGCAAGAAGCCACAATAGCGCCAGTTTCGGCCTCTGTGGCTATTCGGCAGGCTGAATCCCTGTTTCCAACTGTTGCTAGGATATTGTGCATTTACCCCTGCCCCTGCCTATCCGGTAGGCCGAACCCCTGTTTCTGACTATCCAATATAGGCTGACCACTGTCCCTGGTCGTCCGGTAGGCTGAAACCTTCCCCCGACTGTCCGGTAGGCTGACTAGTGACCCCTCTCCCGCGCTGGTTCCAGCCGGCCGGCTCTGTGCCGGTGGTTTGACTCCCGTCCCCGCTCTGTGCCGGTGGTTTGACTCCCGTCCCCGCTCTGTGCCGGTGGTCTGACTCCCCTCCCCCGCTCTGGTTCCAGCCGGCCCGCTCTGTCTCTGTGGGCCGACCGACGACCACCTTCTCCAGCTCCCTACTGGCCTCGTCAGCCGCCAGAAGAGCCGCGCGCCGCGCCGCGCCCCCGGCCGTCGCCCCCCGACCCTCGCCGGTGCAGCGCGCGCCGCTCATCTTCAACTCGTTTTCCCGCGCACGCGCCCGATTCGAGTCCTGAACGGCTCGACCTGCGATAACTGTTGGAGTTCAGACGGCCAGAGTCGTCTCACGCCGTGACGCGCGGGTCAGCGCTGAGTTTTGTGGTGGCCCGGAGTGCGTCCACTGTCCAGCAGTAGGGCCTGAACCGGGACGCGAGTCTAGTTCGAAAGACAGGTACTGGTCCGGGCACCAAGAACAGACAAACAGAGGTCTGTGGACTCGTCACTGGACACGTCTACACTGCAGAGTCCCGACATCTCAAGGAGGCCACTGACCAGTCTCGGTCCTTTGAGGGAGGCTAGCGCAGACTTCGAGGAGCCCGGGCTTCATGGCTGACAGCCGTTTGTACTGCAGAGGCATGAAAGTGAAAGATGGCAATATATTGTGTTATTTTGCTAAGGCAAAAATGTGTCGAATGCTCCTACACCACTGAGCATTGCACACCGTGCTGTACCGGTAATTTAGCAGCATGATAGGTAATATATGTAGTTGCAGCTATGTCGGGTAACAGTGGAATTATTTGTGTTTGCTTTGCTGTTGTTTATTTGCTTCGTGTCGCATGTACATGCAAGTTGTCATGCAAACCCGTTAGTAGATTATAGGCCGACTATTGATGCTCCCCGAGATGCCGACCTTGGCCAGAGTCACAGTATACGGGCACGGCCGGCGGCCCGTATACCGGTCTAGGCACCGATGGGAGCACCATACCAATGGTGGAGTGCACCCCGCAGTCGTCATGCGACAGTAAGACTGGTGAGAACCCTGCCGACGGTAACTCGGTGAGAGCGCAGGCCTGTTTCGCGTTGATGCACCTGAGTACCGTGATGCGTGCCATGCAAGATGCGTGCTATAAACATGCTCGACAAATGCGAACAAATTTTGTCCATCGACTTTTCTCGCGACGACTTTGTTCACATGTATTGTGTATTTACCTGAGAATGAGATGTTGTCAAAGGTTACTGCTAAAGCATGATCGTCAACTGTTATGCTGCAGTCGGTGACAGGAGTAAATACACTGACCCGAGAAGTGAGAATAGCTCTGGCCGTGACTTAGCCGGAAATAACGTCCCAAAATGCACGTCCTATAGGATGAATTGGACACCTATTTTATTAATTTCACGATGATGGGATGATGCGGATGAGCCGCGTCCGGCATTGACGGATGGTTTTGTTTCAAGGCCGAATATTCGGCCCTCGGCTGGCCGCCCCTGACCGCCCCCGTATCGTGTAATTGGTCCCGTCACGGCCGGAGCGGTCAAAACATGTTATCCCGCCGCTCCGGACAATATTAGTTCAGCTCCAGCCCGCGCGGGTCATTACGGAGAGAGCACGGAAACCACTCCTCCAGGATGGGATGCATAATGCGTCAACGTCTTTCGGCCTGACATAATACGCTATTGCAATAGCGGAATAGAAAATGCCTTTATGAAAATGTTTGCCTGAACTGAACCAGCCCGGCTTGTAACGCTTTTGAGAGGATTAAATCTCAGCAACGTACTGCACCGGGCCGATCGACTCGCGGTCTTTTTTACTAGAGTAGTTGCATCCCTTCTACCGAACATCAGACTACTCTCGATGTTAGCCCTCCCCCCTCCCCAATGGACGTGCCACGTGCGAAACGAAGGTAACAAGTTTGTTCCCATTGCAATACCTCGGCAATTACCGGTGCCATTGCGCTGAAACTTGGCACGCATGTGGGTATGCACCCAACGGCCGCCGGTTAATGCATTTCCATGTGTCACGGTTGGGGCGATACCGTACAAGCACAGGTCGTTTCCATATCTCGAGAACGGCCGGACCGATTGCGCTCAAATTTGGCACACCGTTTGGGACCGATGAATATGGTGCCGGGCTGGAAAAGTCAGCTGGAACCTAACTACACATAGTTGGGGTGTGCGCACGCTTAGGGCGCCGCTAACAGAACTCGAGAATGGCTGGGCCGATGGCGCCCAAATTTGGCACGCCGCTGGAGACCGGTTAGTAGGGTGCAGCCCACAAGTCGGCTGGAAGTGCCTCCTCGCATTACCGCACGCACAAGGCTCACACTCGCGGTCGCTGGTTTATCGCTCAAAAAGGCGTCTTGTTGGTAATACTTGGAGAAGAGTGCCAGGCAGCAACCAGTTAAACGTATGCGAAAGTCAGCCAATAGCATACGGGGGCGACGTTCCGCGGCAGTTGACAGCCTGTGGGTGGCAGTGGCGGCGCGGCGGCGGCGCAGTGCCGTCGGTCAGTTCGTCCCCGTGGCCTATATAAGGCCGGCACGCGGTGCAGCACCGACCCGCACCGCGTGGGGTCCACCGCCGCCGCCGGCGGCGCTCACCATCGATTGCGAGCCGCTCCGACCCGACATCGATCACGACGGCAGTCGACGCGCGGCGGCCGCCAGGTCAGGTCACCGGCCGACCCGCGGCGGACGCTATGAGGTGACCACGCCGCGCAGAGCCAGCCGGCAGTGACGGAGAACGGCGAGCCGATGGTAAGTGACGGAGAACGGCGAGCTGATGGTAAGTGACGGAGAACGGCGAGCCGATGGGAAGTGAAGGAGAACGGCGAGTCGATGGTAAGTGACGGAGAACGGCGAGTCGATGGTAAGTGACGGAGAACCGAGGACGGTGAGTCGATGGTAAGTGACGGGGAGCGGTGAGCCGATGGTAAGTGACGGCGAACGGCGAGCCGATGGTAAGTGACGGAGAACGGCGAGCCGATGGTAAGTGACGGAGAACGGCGAGCCGATGGTAGGTGACGGAGAACGGCGAGCCGATGGTAAGTGACGGAGAACGGCGAGCCGATGGTAAGTGACGGAGAACGGCGAGCCGATGGTAAGTGACGGAGAACGGCGAGCCGATGGTAAGTGACGGAGAACGGCGAGCCGATGGTAAGTGACGGAGAACGGCGAGCCGATGGTAAGTGACGGAGAACGGCGAGCCGATGGTAAGTGACGGAGAACGGCGAGCCGATGGTAAGTGACGGAGAACGGCGAGCCGATGGTAAGTGACGGAGAACGGCGAGCCGATGGTAAGTGACGGAGAACGGCGAGCCGATGGTAAGTGACCCGGGCAGCATCAGTCACCGTCTGAACCGTCTGCACCTTAACCCCACACACCAGCTGATGCCGTGCATATAGCGAGGTCGAGGTAGTAGCGAACGGCGGTATTGGGCGCCACATCTGCCATTATCATCTATAATCGACGTGTCTGGTGTCAATCACTTCGTTGCTTGCAAATAAAACTGTAATACCTAAAAACAACGAGGCATCTAAATAGTTTTTTTTTTTTGTTAGAGCGGCGTAAGAGAGAATTAAATCAAGATATTAGTTTCTGTTAAGTGGCTTGTCTCAACCGTATATCCACTGCGTTCGAAACCGATTGATTATTTGGTATGTTCCGTCCAATGACAATCCCGTTAGGCGTCTGGTGACAATGACAACTCTGTCTGTGCCCCGTCCGTTGATGTCGGAGGTCCCTCGTCCAGTGAGTGTTCGTCCCTGTCACCCATTCTCTGACTGACGGTGTCCGTCTCCCTCTGACAGTGTCCGTCCCCAACTGACAGTGTCCGTCTGACAGTGTCCACCCACCTGTGACAGTGTCCGTTCGTCCCCGTCTGACAGTGTCCGCCTTCCTCTGACAGTGTCAGTCTGACAGTCTCCACCCACCTGACAGTGTCCACTGTCCGGCCCTGTTACCCGTCCTCTGACTGACAGTGTCCGTCTGACAGTGTCCGTCTGACAGTGTCCATCTGACAGTGTCCGTCTGACAGTGTCCGTCTGACAGTGTCCGCCTTCCTCTGATAGTGCCCTTTGACAGTGTCCGTCCCCATCTGCCAGGCCCCGTCTGACAGGGTCCGTCTCCTCTTATCCCTCTGACAGTGTCCGTCTGCCAGTGTCCGTCTGAGTGTCCGTCCTCCACCTTCCTCGGACAATGTCCATCTCCGTCTGACAGTGTCCGTCCGACAGTGTCCGCCCCCTGTGACAATGTCAGTCGGTCCTTGTCTGAGTGTCAGTCCCCGTCTGACAGTCCCCGTCTGACCCGCGGTATCCACCCCCGTCTGACAGTGTCCGTCTGACAGTGTCCGTCCCCGTCTGACAGTCCCCGTCTGACAGTCCCCGTCTGACCCGCGGTGTCCGCCCCCGTCTGACAGTGTCCGACGTCCGTAGGTCCCCGTCTGACAGTCCCCGTCTAACCCGCGGTGTCCGTTCCCGTCTGACAGTCCCCGTCTGACCCGCGGTGTCCGTTCCCGTCTGACAGTCCCCGTCTGACCCGCGGTGTCCGTTCCCGTCTGACAGTCCCCGTCTAACCCGCGGTGTCCGTCCCCGTCTGACAGTCCCCGTCTGACCCGCGGTGTCCGCCCCCGTCTGACAGTGTCCGACGTCCGTAGGTCCCCGTCTGACAGTCCCCGTCTAACCCGCGGTGTCCGTTCCCGTCTGACAGTCCCCGTCTGACCCGCGGTGTCCGTTCCCGTCTGACAGTCCCCGTCTGACCCGCGGTGTCCGTTCCCGTCTGACAGTCCCCGTCTAACCCGCGGTGTCCGCCCGCGGCAGGTGTGGCAGCTGGAGCCGGCAGAGCTGAGCGGCCCGATCGTGTTTCGCTGGTACCGCTCCGTCGCCACCGACCTGGGACCGGTCACCCTCACCGTCCACCACCCGTTCGCGGCCGTGCAGCTGCACTGGAGCCCGCGGCGCACAGCCTACGAGTCGCGCCCGGTGGTGCTGCCGTGCGGCCGCTACTCGGCCTCGCTGCGGCTCGACGGCGCCGACCGGCCGCTGGCGCCCTTCCGCGTCACACGCTTCACCTTCGAGGTGCTGCTGTTTCTGAGCAGTGACGTCGCCGACGGCTCCGGGGATGAGGTGGACCTGGCGCGCCGCGCCGCCGTCTGGCGCACAGTGCCGGAGTGGCCGCCGTCACCGACCACGGCCGCCGTGGAGCGGCGCCACGGCCGGCTGGTGACCCAGCTGGCCGGCGCCGCGCTGCTCGCCGAGCTGGCCGCCGACGTGCGCCAGCTGCGGCGCCAGAGCGGCGCCACCCAGCGCCAGGCCGAGCAGCTGGCGCGCGAGCTGCGCCACCGGCAGCTGCGGCGCCGGCTCCGGGAGGCCGTGCGCCGTGAGCTGGCGCTGCAGCGGGCCGGCGGCCGGCGCAGGAGGGGGCCGGCGGCGGGCGGCGCGCGGAGAGCCACCGGCGCGGCCCCGCAGCGGCGCCAGGCCGGCGGCCAGCCGGGCGAAGGCAGCGACTCCCGGAAACCCACAGCCGGCGTCCAGCGGCACCACGTCGCCTTCGACGAGAGGTCGGCGGCAGACGAGGTGGAGGGGGCACCCCACGGACTGGAGACGACACAGGTGGATAAGGACTTCCTCTACGAGGACCTGTGTCGAGAGGAATATGTCAAGAAAGAGCTTGAAGCCGAAGAGGAGGCGGATGATTCAGAATCCGACGAAGACGTGATTGAAGGTAGCGTGCCTCGAGCTAATTCCAGCACCCCGCAGGCTCTGCGGGCGCTGGAAATAGCTGCTGTTGTGGTGTGTTGCCATGGTAACCGCCAGTGTGGTGTTGGACTATGGACATGGCGGGGTTATTAGTCGGTATGACAAGACAACGTTTGGCTTTCATTACAAGCAAAACGCCGTTCATAATTGAGAGTGTGCAAACGACAGATAAATTACACAGCTTAGCACCAAAAAGTGATAATGACGGATCCCTCAGCCTGGGGTGCTGGCCGCCACTGACAGAACTCTCCGTTTGGGGTGGCCAGGCCAGGGAAAGGTCTCAGTTTGGGGCGAGGCTGGGGTGGCCTGACTCACTTTGTGACGAGTCCGTGGGGAACTGACACCTACTGACTCCGTTTTCAGACGAGGATGAGGAGCAGCTGGAGGCGGCCGGTCCGCTCGGGTCCGACTCGGACCTGACTGAGACCGCCGCCGACCGGCACTGGGTGGCCGGCTATCGGCCGTTCGGACACCCTCGAACGGCCGGCCCAGCCGAGCTCAGCCCCCGGCGGACTCCGGAAACCGACCGGCCGGCGGCGCCGCGCCGTGAGTTGTCACTGCCCAGTGCCCCGCCACCGCGCCGTGAGTGGTCACTGCCCCGCCACCGCACCGTGAGTGGTCACTGCCCAGTGCCCCGCCACCGCACCGTGAGTGGTCACTGGTCACTGCCCCGCCGCGCCGCACCGTGAGTGGTCACTGCCCCGCCACCGCACTGTGAGTGGTCGCTGCCCCGCCACCTAGTGCCGCGGCAGTGGACCGCCCCGCTGCACCGCACCGCGAGTGGTCACTGCCCAGTGCCCAGTCACCGCACCGTGAGTGGTCACTGCCCCGCCACCGCGCCGCACCACGAGTGGTCACTGCCACGCCGGCAGACTGGGCTCAGAAACTTACCGTAACGCCAGGTCTCCTCCCCATCCGATACCGGATCACCATGTGTGCGCTGACTTGTGGTTGTTTTCCCCGCTCTGCGCCACACGCTCCGTGTGACTGACGCTGGCCGCTCGGTGTGACTGACGCTGGCCGCTCCGTGTAACTGACGCTGGCCGCTCCGTGTGACTGACGCTGCCCGCTCTGTGTGACTGACGCTGGCCGCTCTGTGTGACTGACGCTGGCCGCTCTGTGTGACTGACGCTGGCCGCTCTGTCTCTGTGTGACTGACGCTGTCCGCTCCGTGTGACTGACGCTGTGTGACTGACGCTGGCCGCTCCGAGTGACTGACGCTGGCCGCTCCGAGTGACTGACGCTGGCGGCTCTGTGTGAATGACGCTGTGTGACTGACGCTGGCCGCTCCGTGTGACTGACGCTGGCCGCTCCGTGTTATGACGCTGGCCGCTCCGTGTGACTGACGCTGGCCGCTCTGTCTCTGTGTGACTGACGCTGGCCGCTCTGTCTCTGTGTGACTGACGCTGGCCGCTCTGTGACTGACGCTGGCCGCTCCGTGTGACTGACGCTGGCGGCTCTGTGTGACTGACGCTGTGTGACTGACGCTGGCCGCTCCGTGTGACTGACGCTGGCGGCTCCGTGTTATGACGCTGGCCGCTCCGTGTGACTGACGCTGGCCGCTCCGTGTGACTGACGCTGGCCGCTCCGTGTGACTGACGCTGGCGGCTCTGTATGACTGACGCTGTGTGACTGACGCTGGCCGCTCCGAGTGACTGACGCTGGCGGCTCTGTGTGACTGACGCTGTGTGACTGACGCTGGCCGCTCCGTGTGACTGACGCTGTGTGACTGACGCTGGCCGCTCCGTGTGACTGACGCTCTGTGACTGACGCTGGCCGCTCTGTGACTGACGCTGGCCGCTCCGTGTGACTGACGCTGTGTGACTGACGCTGGCCGCTCTGTGTGACTGACGCTGGCCGCTCCGTATGACTGACGCTGGCCGCTCCGTGTGACGCGCCTCAGGTCCGCCTCTGCCGGCGCCCTGGCGGCCCTGGTCGCCGTCCGAACTGACCCCCGGGCAGCGGGCGGCCGTGATCACCGGAGATCAGGTCATCAGAGGTCACATCAGCCATATATGGATGTCCGCACACCACACTCTGGTCAACATCGAGACCAACGGGTAAGGACTGACCGCAGACGGCTCACGGTGTGTGGCTTCTTTGTGACCAATAAATCTCCCGAAAGGCTACAAAACGACCAAGATATTGAACATATCTTTCACTTCCTCGGGAAAACGGGGGACGGTAGTGTCCCCGTTCCCGGTGGGTGGATGTGTCAGTATTGTGTCCCCTTCCAAGTGGGATGATCAATGATGTGACAGCGTTGTCCCCGTTCCAGGTGGGAGGACGTGACAGTACCGTTCCAGAAGGTGATTATGGTCTGGTGATCTCCGCCCATTCTCCGTCGGACGGCGGGGATCGCACGAGGGCGACGGAAATCGCAACAGACGAGTACACCCACAGCTACCTGTAGATATAATGTGTGTGCTTCAGTTGCCAGACAAATGACTGCAAGATATGATGTGGATGTGTCGACAAAATGAATAGTCAACTGTTCATTGTTTAGGAAAAAATTATCAACTGGGTGTAGCTGCAAAGCTGAAAGAGTTGCACCAGGGGCATTCCACGTCAAATCGAACAAAAATCGGCTGTTTTCACCTTACCATCAGCGATTTCATTATAAATTTGTGAGCGAGTTCCTGTGTGGCCCCGGACATTACATTGATGTTTTTTGCACATTCTGACCACAGGTCTTCTAAATATAGGGCATCAAATTTTTACAAAAAGTTGCATCTTTATATTTTGGAACGACCATAACTTTGGTTGTACTTGTTTGATTTGAATGAAATAAACCTTACTGTTTAGGTAATTTCTTAAGCATTTGTTTAGAATTGCACCTACTTAAATATATGACCTTGAAATTTGCTTAACTCTGTTCTTAAGCACAAATATTGAAATAGCAAAAAACACGTCACCTTCGATTTGGCTCATTTTCATATATTTTATTGCCTACCATATTCTTAACAACCTGTGAAAAAATTAGAGTGGGCCATTCATAGGTTTTGAAGAAAATTGCACATATGCAAACGTATGTTAGCACGCGCAGTGGAGGGGGAAGAGCGAATTTCGCCCACCCCTCCTGTTTTTCGCCAATATCTCATAAGATTAATGCGAAATTAATTATGGCTACCTGTCAAGAATTGAATTGGACATCTCATCGTGCAAGCAATAAGAAAATCGGTTCACAACTGTTCTAGTAATAGCGGTGTAAAGTGAACATCCTGTCGCCGCAGCGACGCGGCGACTCGGCAGCCGGCGCCGACCGCTAGCCGCCGCCTGAATTGTAGACTGTGCCGGGACGGAACGGAACGGTTCCGTCTTTACATCGCGCTCCCTACCGCTGATTACGTTCGATTCGCGTCAAATTTTGTGAGAAGACTAAGAAATGTACAGGCAATCTTATGGTGAAAGAATTTTGAAAATCGGTTGGTAAACAATTGAAATATGAACGTGTAAACACAAAATTGTGATTGCTGCGTTTCCCGCATCGGCCGAGCCCGCCTCAGCCGGCGACATGTTACTCTTAGCAGGCCTCTAACTGCCTTATTTATTATTGGATTAACTAGAAATTCCCCATACATACTAAAAAATGTATGTTCTTTCGTATAGCGAAGATCAAAAGACGTGAAGATATCGTTGCGTGATAATGTTTTCGTTGAATTTACTTCATGATGCATTTCCACACGGCTCAAAATTCACCGCAAAATACCGTTTGCCTGAAACACTTTTACTATGGAACGTGAATGCTTGACTACGATGACTATGCATTTCCATTCTCGCTGAGTTTGGGATATCACTAATCAGCAATCATTCATTTCAGAAAGTGTACACAAGCAAGCATGTCTTGACTCTGTCTTTCAAGGTCACGCGCGGTTGCGTGATGTTGATGCATGAAAACGGCGTTTGCCGCGAAAGTTATGAATGGCCCACTCCAATTTTTTCACAGATGGTTAGGAACATTGTGAAGGACATAATATGTAAAAATTACCCAAATCGAAGGTGACGTGTTTTTTGCTATTTAAATTTTTCTGTTTTAATTCAAGGTCAAATGCATTTCAAGGTCACTTCAATTTAATTTTATATATAAAAATCAAAGCCTTATCAATTGCCTCTAAGACCCTGTTAATATCATTTTGATACCAGAAAAGGAACCAGAGTTATAGCCATTTAAAAAATTGATGTGTGGCATTTTTCGCTATATTCGATGACCTATATCTCAGCGATACGTTATCAAATTTCGAAAATATTATACGTAACTCAGTTTTGAACCATGCCCAGTCTGCCTACAAATTTACAGAAAAATCGAAGGGGATGACGGATTTCGGTGTTTGATTTGACGTGGAATGCCCCACCATGAAGGTACAAACTTAGAATGGAAAATAAACGTCCACATTATAAAACATTTTTCACGGAGCATCGGCATTGCTAAGCATAATATCCTTAAAAATCAACACAAATGTATAAAAAGTTACGTAAATAAGTGCCACTCGAACGCCTCCTCCCCCAACTGGTAAGACGGGACAGTGGACAACATGCTGCGAGTATCAACAACTAGGCTGACTGTTTCAGCCCTAATCACATCTGCTTTGTCAAACGTTGAGCTGTATTATCTTTTTTACGGCCTCGTTAGCCCACTGGGATTCCCTCAACTTGAGCCAGACACCTTATCATGAGATTTAGGTCAACATTGGATCAACAGTACCCTTCCACCTGTTTCTTCTGCTCTACCCTCTCTCTCTCTCTCTCCCTCTCTCTCTCTCTCTCTCGTTTTTTTCTCTCTCTCGCTCTCTCTCAAATACTCTATCTCTCTTTCAAATAATATACCAATCGGGAGAAATCCACTATTTGTATACAACTGTTTGGATAGCTCTTAGATCCGACTACTTGTAGGTAATCAACACATTTGTGTTATTCCCTGCATGAATATATTCCGACAATTCATATCGCAGCTGTCACCAGCTACATGCAAGTTGCAACACTCCTTATTCCAATCAAGTTAAGCTAATTGCATTGATTACTTTGCACATAATTGTAAGGAATCACAATGGACACCCCATCTGGCAGTCATCACGGGGATCAGCAAATGGCGGACAGGTCAGTCAAACACCCCCGTATCAAATACGCACTCATTGGGGACAAAACCACCCTAGCATTATTCATTATCGATATAACAGATAATGGCATAGCGTCTTTCAATTACAACTTGTTGCATTTGCATGCCTTTTCCTTTTTATCCATATGCAGGACCATATAATTTAAAATCACTGGTATTAATTTGTGCCCACTTCTGTCCACAGTCAGAGGTCCTTATTGTCTGAAGGCAGACCCATAAGACTGCTCATTATTGTCGAAGGACATGTAAAAGGCACGAGCCCGGTACGACGTATCACAATGTACCGCTAGTGTTCTGACGTCGACCCAACGTACGAGTACTTACTGGCGTGGCACATACCAGGCGCGCAATCACCGCAGATCATTTCCCCAGTTATGTACCGCTAACTGTGCCCGCCCCAGCAGCTGGGAGTGGAGACCATATATACCGCCCGGCCGGGACGTCACAGTCCATACCGCCCGGCCGGGACGTCACAGTCCATACCGCCCGGCCGGGGGTCAGTCCATACCGCCCGGCCGGGGGTCACGGTCCATACCGCCCGGCCGGGGGTCAGTCCATACCGCCCGGCCGGGGGTCACAGTCCGTACCGCCCGGCCGGGGGTTACAGTCCATACCGCCCGGCCGGCGGTCACGGTCCATAGACTCCATACCGCCCGGCCGGGGGTCACGGTCCATACCGCCCGGCCGCGGGGTTACAGTCCATACCGCCCGGCCGGGGGTTACAGGCTGCTGGACGGCGGCCGCTGCTCGACGGCGCCGTCGGCGATCAACTGGCGCACCTCGGCCTCGTCGAAGCCCTCCTCTAGCAGTACCTCCGTCGAGTGCTGTCCCCGGCGCGGCTCTGCACCGCCGCCGGCGGCCGGCGTGCGCTCCAGCCGCGGCGCCGGCGCCGGCTCCGGCCGGCCGCGCGCGCCAGACACGAAGCTGGAGCGCGCCACGGCGCCGGGCGCGGCGGCCGCCTCGTCGGCGCTCAGCACGGGCGTGACGCACGCGTCCTGACCGGCGAACACGGCCGCCCACTGGGCCTGCGTGCGGCGCGCGAACGCGGCGGCCACGCGGCGGCGGCCGTCGGCGGAGTCGAACGGCAGCTGCTCCAGGCCCGGCTCGCCCAGCAGCTCGGCGAACCGGGCGAAAAACTTGGGCTCCAGCGCGCCGACGGCCATGTAGCGTCCGTCGGCGGTGCGGTGGCAGCCGTACCAGAAGGCGCCGCCGTCCAGCCTGGCCGGCGCGCGGCCACACACAGCGTCAACACACCGACTGGCCTGGACACTATGTACGCGGGCAGGCAGATAGAGAGCATGGCCAGAGGAACAAATACTACAGTAGAGTCGAGGAAAGAAATGCGCTACTACGGCAGAAGCAGCTGAAATAGGAAACAGCCTAGCGAACTAAAAGTAACTTACTATTGGACAGACAGGTCACTAATTATATCCACTGGAACTAGTTAATGGAGTGTGGACATTAACCCGCGTATGACTGGGGGGAAGGAGGGGGGAGACTCTGTAGACGGATCAACACGAAAGTTGCGGTAGCCTCAGCGGCATCAATTTGACACCTTGTGTTAAAATTTCAACTTTCTAGCTACCATAGTTTGGCCGGAAATGACGTCAGAGTGACGTCATGTCGGCCGATTTAGATGCAAAATATAGAATTACGGCAAATGCTCTCAAGAGCTTAGTTTTAAGCTAAATCCAACTTCTTTGCATCACTGGACTACAAATACACGTAGCTATCAAACTGCTATCCCGAATTTTCGAAATTTTGAAATTTTGAAAAATATGCTTTTACAATTACAAAAAATATTGTTTTTTTGATTTTTTCAAAAAGTTTTTCATTTTTCGCAAAAACCGGAATATAGAACACACACTGATGAACTACTCTAGCAAGTTTTAGTCAAATATCTTCAAAAATAGCCAAGTTATTTACAATATTGTCAAAATTTTACAATTATATATTTTTCAAAACCATTTTTCAGTACGTTTTTGACATCGTAGAGCAATATAAATGACACCATCGTGTTCCTGAGTTCAAACTGCATCTGATTGGCACCTTTACTGTTGAAAAATTTCATTTTCAAAATTTGACCTTTTCTGACCTAAAAGTGGGCTGACCTCCGGTGAATTCAGCTGAAAATGACCTCAAATGACACAGACGACATTGTTTTCGAAATCTACGAGTAAAATGAATCATAAAACATGCGTCACTTGACCGATACATGATATATAATTTTCGTGAACTAGGATGACCTGGGCTTGACCTGAAAAAAAAAATATCGAAGTAAAAGTTCGGTACCCTCAGGGTATCTAAGGCATATATCAAGGAGTGCGTAAACCAAAAGAGCCTGATAGGACTTGTCAACCGGCGGTCAGAGCCTAAATTGTGAACAAGCAAAAATGCCGATAATTTTTACTTTGACCTGACCTGTGACGTCATCGATGACCTCTAGGTCAATGAAAATAGGTTTCGCTCAACAGTTTTTTCCAGGGCTATCAGACGCCGTTTGAACTTTGACGATCGGCCCAGTAGTTTCGGAGATAGGAGGGGGAAGGCTCTGGAGGCTCCGGATGCGCGGGTTAACCAGTCAGGAAAAAACATCCTACTAAATTGACGAATACATTGATTAAAAACCGTCAGCTATCAGCCACTTTCCTCCCAAAAAGACTTATTACGTTAAAGCGTTCGGCAATGAGGGGCCGGGAGTGTTGGCGTGCCTGTCTGTCACTCTCGGTATCTGACAGTAAGCACTCAGAGAGAGAGGACCACAGCAGGGCCGGCGATACTCACACGTTGGTGCCCGCCTCGCGTCCCCAGACCGGCTGCAGGTCGCGCGACTTGAACAGCCAGCTGGCGACGTACGCGGCGCCCTCCGTCATACTGCAGTCGACCACCTGGCCCTTACCGGACCTGCGGACACACAGATAGTGAGACAGTGCTGGGGACAGGCCTGGGGGCGCCCTCCGTCATACTGCAGTCGACCACCTGGCCCTTACCGGACCTGCCGACACAGTCAGACAGTGCTGGCGACGTACGCGGCGCCCTCCGTCATACTGCAGTCGACCACCTGGCCCTTACCGGACCTGCGGACACACAGATAGTGAGACAGTGCTGGGGACAGGGGCGCCCTCCGTCATACTGCATTCGACCACCTGGCCCTTACCGGACCTGCCGACACAGTCAGACAGTGAGACAGTGCTGGCGACGTACGCGGCGCCCTCCGTCATACTGCAGTCGACCACCTGGCCCTTACCGGACCTGCGGACACACAGATAGTCAGACAGTGCTGGGGACATGGGCGCCCTCCGTCATACTGCAGTCGACCACCTGGCCCTTACCGGACCTGCCGACACAGTCAGACAGTGCTGGGGACAGGAGCGCCCTCCGTCATACTGCAGTCGACCACCTGGCCCTTACCGGACCTGCCGACACAGTCAGACAGTGCTGGGGACAGGGGCGCCCTCCGTCATACTGCAGTCGACCACCTGGCCCTTACCGGACCTACGGACACAGTCAGATAGTGCTGGGGACATGGGCGCCCTCCGTCATACTGCAGTCGACCACCTGGCCCTTACCGGACCTGTGGACACAGTCAGACAGTGCTGGCGACAGGGGCGCCCTCCGTCATACTGCAGTCGACCACCTGGCCCTTACCGGACCTGCCGACACAGTCAGACAGTGCTGGCGACGTACGCGGCGCCCTCCGTCATACTGCAGTCGACCACCTGGCCCTTACCGGACCTGCGGACACACAGATAGTGAGACAGTGCTGGGGACAGGGGCGCCCTCCGTCATACTGCATTCGACCACCTGGCCCTTACCGGACCTGCCGACACAGTCAGACAGTGAGACAGTGCTGGCGACGTACGCGGCGCCCTCCGTCATACTGCAGTCGACCACCTGGCCCTTACCGGACCTGCGGACACACAGATAGTCAGACAGTGCTGGGGACATGGGCGCCCTCCGTCATACTGCAGTCGACCACCTGGCCCTTACCGGACCTGCCGACACAGTCAGACAGTGCTGGGGACAAGAGCGCCCTCCGTCATACTGCAGTCGACCACCTGGCCCTTACCGGACCTGCCGACACAGTCAGACAGTGCTGGGGACAGGGGCGCCCTCCGTCATACTGCAGTCGACCACCTGGCCCTTACCGGACCTACGGACACAGTCAGATAGTGCTGGGGACATGGGCGCCCTCCGTCATACTGCAGTCGACCACCTGGCCCTTACCGGACCTGTGGACACAGTCAGACAGTGCTGGCGACAGGGGCGCCCTCCGTCATACTGCAGTCGACCACCTGGTCCTTACCGGACCTGCCGACACAGTCAGACAGTGCTGGGGACAGGAGCGCCCTCCGTCATACTGCAGTGGACCACCTGGCCCTTACCGGACCTGCCGACACAGTCAGACAGTGCTGGGGACAGGGGCGCCCTCTGACCTATTGCAGTCGACCACCTGGCCCTTACCGGACCTGCCGACACAGTCAGACAGTGCTGGGGACAGGGGCGCCCTCCGTCATACTGCAGTCGACCACCTGGCCTTTACCGGACCTGCCGACACAGTCAGACAGTGCTGGGGACAGGGGCGCCCTCCGTCATACTGCAGTCGACCACCTGGCCCTTACCGGACCTGCGGACACAGTCAGACAGTGCTGGGGACAGGGGTGCCCTGCTATCATACTGCAGTCCGTGACCCCGTCATCGGACCCTCACACGAGTACACACATTACACCCTGGCACATACACCCACAAAGCCACCTGGTCCTCTCGAGCAGGACGGACCGACCTGGTCCCCTCGAGCGGGGTGAACCAAACCGACCTGGTCCTCTCAAGCAGGGCGGACCGACTTATTCCCCTTGAACAGGGTACACCAAACCGACCTGGTCCTCTCGAGCAGAGTAAACCAAACCCACCTGGTCCCCTCGAACAGGGTAAACCAAACGCACCTGGTCCTCTCGAGCCGGGTGAACCCAACCCACCTGGTCCTCTCGAGCAGGGTAAATGAAACCCACCTGGTCCTCTCGGGCAGGGTAAACCCAACCCACCTAGTCCTCTCGGGCAGGGTAAACCCAACCCACCTGGTCCTCTCGAGCAGAGCCGCCAGGACGCCCAGCGCGCAGGTGAGACCGCCGCCGGCGAAATCGGCCAGCAGGTTGACGGGCGGCACCGGCGGCCGGTCGGGGGTCGACAGGAACGACAGAACGCCTGCAGGCAGTCAGTGGGAGGATATCAGAACGCCGGCGGCCGATCAGAGGACGACAGGAACGACAGAACGCCTACGGCAGTCGGTGGAAAGACACCGGTCGCGGGAAGGACAGGACGCCTTCGGCAGTCGGTGGAAAGACACCGGTCGCGGGAAGGACAGGACGCCTACGGCAGTCGGTGGGAAGACACCGGTCGCGGGAAGGACAGGACGCCTGCGGCAGTCGGTGGAAAGACACCGGTCGCGGGAAGGACAGGACGCCTGCGGCAGTCGGTGGGAAGACACCGGTCGCGGGAAGGACAGCACGCCTTCGGGGCAGTCAGCGGGACGGGGCAGCTGTCGAACGGCCCTGACGGGCGGAGTTGGCATCGGGCAGCCGGTCGCAGGGCACGTACCACACGCGGCCGTGTGTGAGGCAGCAGCCAAGTGGTACGGGGCGCCAGTCACACAGTATGTACCGGCCGTGTGTGAGGCAGCAGCCAGGTGGTACGGGGCGCCAGTTCCACAGTACGTACCGGACATGGCCAGGTAGTTGATGTCGTGGCCCGCCCAGTCGGCCGTGGGGCCAGTCTGGCCGTAGCCGGTCAGGCGGGCGTAGACGAGCCGTGGGTTCTGCTTCAGCAGCGCCTTGGGGCCGAGACCGAGCCGCTCCATCACACCTGCACGGCGGCCGGCACACGCACCGGTCAGGGAAACGAACGGGGCGCCCCCGACAGGTCGCACACGCACCGGTCAGGGAAACGAACGGGGCGCCCCCGACAGGTCACACACGGGTCGGGTCAGGGTAACGAACGGGGCGTCCCCGACCGGTCACACACGGTCACACACACACGCGTCAGGGCTTCTAACAGCCAGCCGGCACACGGGTCAGGGCTTCTAACAGCGAGCCGGCACACGGGTCAGGGGTTCTAACACGGGTCAGGGTTTCTAACAGCGAGCCGGCACACGGGTCAGGGTTTCTAACAGCCAGCCGGCACACGGGTCAGGGGTTCCAACAGCGAGCCGGCACACGGGTCAGCGCCCCGAACTGCGCGGCCGGGACGAGCGGGAATCGGTAACACATTGACAATGGGAGGTCCACAAATGTTAGCGAATTAGCGAATTGAACAGCCCAAAACCGGCGGCAGCGACACAGCCATGATGAGCGTCCCGGATCTGTACAGCAGCGAGGAGTGAGACTGCCCTGAATGCCGAGTGCCGATCCGAGGCAACGTGCTGTCGCGGCCCGCCCACCTGGTCTGAAGGGCTCGAGCAGCACGTCGGCGCGACTGCAGAGCCGGCGCACCACCTCCGCGCCGTCCGGGTGCTTCAGGTTCACCGACACGGAGCGTTTGCCGCGCGCCAGTGCGTCCATCTCTGGGTGGCCGAGCTGGCGGCGCAGCGCAGCACACCTCCCGTCAGTCACCTCGGGAGCAGCGGTGGGGCTCTGCAGCCACCCACAGGGCGCTACATCGACAAACAATCAAATTATAGCGCAAGGCCGACAGTGCCCTCCCAAATTAGCAAAGGTCAAGGCCCTCAGCAAGAACTGTACCACAGATAACAGTAGTACTTGGTACTACTGTTATCTGTGACTGTACCCATGTAAAGAAATTATTATGATTATAAACTAATCAAAACAAAATTTAGTGCATCCATATACTTAAGCAAATCTGATAAGTTGGTTACTCTCTCAGGTGATTTATCATCTACAGCTAGTTATGGTAAAACAAATGCTAGATTTGAGGAAATCTCATGTTCATCAAGTTCCCATGGCGACGTTTGCATTTTAATGGCAAAAAAAAAAACACAATGAAACTTTCACTTGATGGTCCAGCTGGCTACCAGAACCATAAGGATCTGCATTTGCTCCTAAATCATCAACAAGAGTTGGAGATGGAGCAATACAATGATATTATAGAAATAGAGATAAAAACTGGAGAACGATAGAGAAGGAAAGACTTGACTTCCTCACACAGGTAGTGACTGTAGATAAGGGCTTGAAGAATGAAGGCAGTTAATTACAATAACAAAGAGGTTAGATCTTTGACACTAACAAACTATTTGAATAGGTATCGATGCCCCTGTAGCATGCACACAAGCTCCTCTTGCAATAAGACTGTGAAAAATCGAAATTATATTTCTGAAACCTAACAACGCTTTGAGGTTGGCTTACCTTGTCCACTCTGATGACTGAGGCACCAAAGTCCTTCAAAATCAGACCACAGAAGGGCGCTGGTGCGAGGCCCGCCATCTCCACCACCTTGATACCTTTCAATGGCATCATTGTACTGCCTTCACCCTGAAAAGTCAAATGGTACTGTTTTGAATTTTGCTATTTTGATTTATTCAACAGACAACAGGCAGTTCACCCACTATTCACAAAGACTTTATCACAAGATTAAAAGCAATAAATATGGCAAACAGCAGTCAGCACACACAAACACATAAAGACACAGGTGGAATCAGGTGAGATAAGTTTGAACACACCCCAGAACCCAGTAGGTAGGTAGGTACGTACATACTCGAATAAAAATAAAACTAGGATAAAATAAAATAAAATATAAAAATAAAATGTTAAGACCATTGTGTGGTAAGTGGTAACTGGGGTATGGTAGCCATTTTGCACCTCATTTTTGTTTTATCACCTAAGCAAACAAAATTAAATCATCAACTGTGCCCCATTGTTATGCTTTCATATAAATATGACATGCTGGCAGCTGAACAAAGACCCTTCAAAGTGCTACAAGAGGTTAATATCCCAAAATAATGTCCGCAAGACATTTCATAAACACTTGTCTAATATCATTCTATACTATATTATTCTTATCTTCTGATGAGTGAGTGATGATTAAGAAGATATCAAATAAATAACAACAGTTAGCAGCTATGCACTGAATTTGACAAGGTACCTACAACAACTTTCAAATCAGTAGGCGGAACTATGGTCAAGCGTACCCATTTTCGGGAACGCATTTTCGTTCCCATGTTTGGGAACGATAAACCCAAATATGGGAACGCCATGTAGGCATTATTTAAAACAAGAAAAAGAACCGTTAAATGACGTCCAAAAAATATAAAACGATCGTGAACCGCCTGATATTTGTCTCAATATTGTTGGGAAAGAGTTTGATATTGTAAGGCCCATCGTAGTTTCAAATCGTTCCCCTATTTCTAAAGCAGTCCATCATCCGGGCCGCGAGCCCAAATTTGGGAACGCTCTCGTACACTGGCGCTGCAAGCGTTCCTTATTACGGGAACGGCATACCCAAAATTGGGAACGATTTCACCGACGCCTTTCAGGGGCTCTTTTCATTAACAAGCATCACGTCCAACGCCGCAAATTATTGTTAACGCAACAATCATCAGATGACCTTTCCGGCAAGACCGTCGCATGTTTCGCCCGGTCTTCTGCGCTTTTATTCACGTCGATCTCGCAGCGGGCACGCCCCCCTCTGCAGGATTACGTAATTCACAACGCTCAGCGATGTTCAACAAGGTCTTCCATACCTATATCCACCGTCCGCGCTGAGGGTGGCCGGTGGAGACATGTCAAGCACCTGTCTGTTTATCACCGATAGTTGACGAGTACAAGGAAGTATCCAAAAATGGGAACGCTGAATATGTTACACCCTCAAAACACCTAGTCCCAATGAAAATCTAGTTTTTTCCTTTCTTGATGAGTGTAAGTGGCAAAAGGCCTGGTAGGATGGGCACGAGGAATTATCGAAATCAGCATAAAAATTATAAATAAGCCACACAGAGCGAGCTATATAAGAGAAATTCCCCCAAAACGATCACGCTTAGAAACACGGAAGACAAAAACCACGCTCATGACGCTCCTTATAAAACAACTCTAAACAGCTAGCATCCAAATAAAATATGTCTTTACGGGATGATAAAATACAGCTGGATAATTTTCAACCGCTTAAAGGGACCCTCCCACCTTAACATTAGTTTTGAGTTGAGATAGCCAAGTTTGCGGCCAGGCTCAGAAACCACCATTTATCCTGGTCGCAACCCCCGCAGCTTTATGGTGTTCAAGAAATTTCTTCCCTTTACTTGCAGGGTGGGACCAGCGTGGTCCCTATCTCTTAACCATTACGGGAATCTGATGACGTCATCAGGCTTTCGAACGTCCGTTAAATGTTTGACTAAAACGTTTTGTAGCACGCGGTGGTATATGCTGCTTTGCGCGCAACAAATGCCGCACTTTCAAATAAAGTCGCTAGGAACAGCGGAGATCCCAAAAAGTAAACAAAAGTATAAGTCTAATATCTTGAAAACCGGTGAATATTTTTCGATGAAATTTGGTAGATATGCGTTTTTGCTCTTTCTGAACCGAGCGACATCACTTTCATGCCAATTCATTAACTTTTTTGAAGGTGGGAGGGTCCCTTTAAACTGAGTTTACAACAGTAGCTCGGTAAATTCACTCACGTTCCACGCGGTCGTCCGCCCCGACACAAAAGTCAACAATATTACCTCGGGACCGTCCGCGTCTTCGCTTGCATTTGTCAGCATCTGGTGTCGATAGTATAAAAGTTCATAACCAGGCGAAAATTATTATACTTTACCTCAAACTAAAAAATGCTTAATTTTCCTTAAAATTTCATGTTAAATGTCGTATAACCCATATTTCCACCATTCTGTCATTTTCAAAAAATCATTAAAAATATCATTCCACGGTCAATTTCCTTGTTCCACGGTCAGATTAAAGATAACTTTATGGAGATTTAGTAGATACTTAAATCAGCGTGCACTTTTTTGAGACGTGATGCCCTTTTGAGTTTTAGTGGGAGAACGGCCGAAAAATTGCCTTCCGTTCTCATAAATGGGAACGCCCGTTCCCATATTTGGGAACTCCGTTCCCAAAAATGGGTACGTTCCTATATTTGGGTACTCATGACCATAGTTCCGCCTACTGAAATCATAATAACAAATAAATGATTACCTACAAAAATATTTCAATTGACATAAGCAGCTATTATGATCATGTATACCACATATGCCTACTTACAAAAGCTTCCATTTGATTTCAATTTTGACTCCCTTCCACTTTGTAAACACTAAGAATAGCAAGGAAATATATGATGCATCAGCATCAACACTCAAACATGAAGTCAAAGTTAGAATCAGAATAGGTGCCAGTTAATATCTAGCATTTCGAAAAATCACCAAACCTAAGCACATTGGAATAGTCAAGTCTCAAGCTGAAGTGGGCATCAGTATACAGATAAGATTGAGATGGAACAAAGGTCACATTGGTCACCCATCACACATGACACTTAGAGGCCTGACTCTGAGTCTGAGCCCGGCTGTTCAGAGGCCTCAGCCATGGGCGTTACAATATGGAATTCATATCTCACAAAAAGCATACACCTGTGAAAAAGGGGTGAACATTCGGGGTTCGGGGGAGGTAAAAGTAAAGGCACATATTATGAGACAGCAGCACGTAAATTGTGGCACTTTAAAATAATATTATTTCAAATTCTTGTAGCTTGTTAACTAATGGACTGCCACCGGGTTATAGTTTATAGGCTTTCAAATATATTAGTTTTCCCTACTCAGTAACGCGGTCTGTTACCAAAATGAAAATGTGCCCCGCGGCCACCTCCCCCGCGAACGGCCACCGAAAAAAAAAAACATTTCTGGGGCAAATTGGAATAAAAGTATATCATGTGGTATTTCGGCAGTGGATTATTCCTCTTTGTATATGATATCACCTTTTTTCTTGTTTCCTCTCCCTTATTGCTATCACACCCAATTCCTCAACCACTTGACTGATAAATGATAACTAAGCCATATAACTACTTCTCTTGTTATCGTTCAGACTTACTTGTGGTTACTTGTGGTGTAGGACGTATAGCCTCGTTGGGCCCAGAACGTCCAGTTGAATTGTCGTTCCTCGTAAGTCGTTCCTTCACGTCTTGTGACTTGATGTAGAGCAGTGGGGGCTAGTATAGGGAACAGGATTGCTAGGACTGGAAGGACAGGTGAGGTTGTTATCGTTCAGAAGCGAAAGCGACTGCGCGAGATATGCATCAGACGCGCCATGAACGAATTTAGAGTCCGCCACCAAATTGAAATGTGTAAGAGCTCACACATTTTCCCCTGAACCCTTGAAATACATAGCAGCAAGGCCATCTATAGAGCATAGCAGAGTTATTGGACTGACGAGGACGTAATGCAGATTCCTAAGCTCTTTTGTTTATATTTATGCTCCTTACCTAACTTTAGCTAACCTAACTTACTGACCAAACTCTAACAAATGCATTGTATTTGTATATGCTTGTCAACCTACACATAACCAGTCATTTAGCTACTTCCGCTAGTCGCTACTCCTTTAGGTCGATGGTCGATCGCAGGCGGCACTGCTTGTTGACGCCTGACCCCGTGTGCGGCTTGGGTTTGGCGGATTCGCTCAATCCTCGACAGCAAAAGAGTGAAACTACACCATTCATAGGCGGCGGAACGGGGGGGGGGGGGGACACTAGGGGACCGTGTCCCCCTTGATTTCGCCATTTTTACATTAGCATTTAGCTCTATGGGCGTTGCATGGAAAGAATGGGACCAAAAGTCGGCAGTGCCACCCCCCTAACTGAAGGTGTTCCGCCGCTACTGTCATATAAAACGGTTTACTTAGACGGATTATGTCATCGAAATTCCCGCTGCTTGCACAATATGCGCATTATTGCACATCTAACGATGCCTGGTTCATTCACTGTCATTTTTAATACAGCGAAATCCGTTGTTTTCTATTCATTGCTGTGCCGTCACGATAGCTGCTAATGCCAAATGTGTCCCAATATTTTTCTCCTTTATTTTCATCGTCAAGCACATATGCACAACCATAGAAAAGGCAGGCCCACAACTAAGCAGCAAAGGCAAAGGCAAAAGTCCAGATATTTAGTTATATCGCAGTGCCGAACCAACCGGGCACATCGAAGCACATTATGCGTTTCATCCCAGCCAATTAGCACTGCACATACATGGCATGCAGCAGCCACCATGAGACGAATTACGGAGCCCGCTGGCTAGCCGTTGAGCATTGTTCGAGTCGCCCGGCGGGATATGGTAGGCAGTTTGCCATGACGCCGCAGAAGGCGTCATGTATGTATCCCTATATTGGACAATCAGCAGAAAATGTGGCGCGCCCAATCCGCTAAATATATTCAATGCACCAAGCCCTTTTCCCTCCTACGATGCATACCTACGAAAGCCAGTATATAATCCACGTTAAACCCATTGAGCGGTACAAAATGTCATTACAAAAATACGTATTTATAAAATCTCACAGCGGTTAACAATCTATCATCACAATGCCCAAAACAGCACCTAATATTGCCAAAATCTAATGTAAATCTAAAGCCGGCCCTCCAAGCTTCAACACAAACTTGGCATCATGGTTCTCAGGGAAATTACGCAAGCCTAAGTCCCCGAGCATCTAAACCAGACACAGTAGCCCGGGCCACTGCACGACAGCTGACTGCAGGCTCACACACAGTGAGCGTTACGTTAGTGTAGCAGGCCGCCACCAAGCGGCACACCTTACCGCGTAACAACTGGACCGGCCTCTGTTCGTAACGTGGGCGCCCGAATCACACACACCCGGGCTGCTCCCGGAGGTTGGTCGCTCAGCCCGTCCGGCACCCTCTCCGACCGGAGCGGGCAGCTCAGTGCGACACTCTCCCCCCGACCGGAGATTGGCCGCGCGGTCCGTCCGGCACTCTCCCCCGACCGGAGCGGGCAGCCAGTGCGGCACTCTTCCCGACCGGAGGCGGGTACGGCCGGCGCGGCAGCATGCAGCCGGGCCTGACCCGAGCACCGGCCAGCGGCCAGCGGTCGCCACCCTTAGGCACGCGCCGCGCTGAGCTTCTCGAAGAGCGCGCGGTGGTTGGAGGACAGCTCCTGGAGGCCACAGGCGCGGTTGGCCGGCAGTGCCTCGTCTGTTGAACAGCGGGAGAGTAAGCTACCGGAGCAGTTACGCTACATCGGCGCCAATAGAGCACTCACCACATCCCACTGGTTCATTATAACCGCGTCAATAGCCCCAGTGCCCGGAGGGACCTACAACGGCGCAGTGGTCCGACCTCAGGTCCGTCCGAGCACAGGTCCCCTTGCATGGCTGATGAGACCTGTGCACATCAGTGCACTGCTGCAGTGGTCCGATTCCGTCTGGTCCCGTCAGTGACCAACTATGGTCCAATCAGTGGTCCGAGCTCTAGACCCATCAGTGCTGCAAACTCCTGTCCTATCCGTGGTTCGACTCTGGTCCGAACACCTAACACTGGTCCGGGTGCAGTACTCACCGATGTACTTGGGGTAGTCCAGCTTCAGGTCCTCCATGAACTTGATGAACTTTTCCCGGGAGAGGGTCAGCCTCGGGTTCAGCGTCTTCTCCTCTGCCACCGAGGAGCTGGTGAAGCCTGGAAAGGGCACTATAAACAATAAACAACACACGAGATCAAGTCGTCACAAGCTTAAAGCGAAAAATGTCATAAATCGTGAGTTTCTAGTAAATGAGGCAAATGTCAACATGTTCCCTTAGTGTGTATATCTGCGGTTTCACTGATAAACAATGCCGACTTAGTGACAGTACGCAGCTGCATGTTTCCACTCCGATTGTCACGACTGACACGCGCCTCAGCTGAAGCATAATGTCGTCCGTTACTGTTGGGCCGACTCACCATTGCACGCAATGCCCCTTCCCTCCTGTACAGGCCAAATCTCATCTGTACCCACTGCCCCGTCCCTCCCCAAACCCGCCTCACAGTCCCCGCTGCCCGCCACGCCGCGCTCGTAGTGTACCGCGGGAGTGGTGCCCCTCTCCCCCGCTGCCCGCTGTGCCGTACTCGTACCGCGGTAGTGGGGGCGCACCTCCTCCCTCCCCCCCCCCCGCTGCCCCCCGCTGTGCTGCACTCGTACCGCGGTAGTCGTGGGCCGGCAGCACGGTGAAGTGGTCGGGCAGGCTGAAGATCTCGCGGTGCACCGAGTCGTACAGTGTGCCGCTGTCTCCCTCCTGGAAGTCGGTGCGGCCGCAGCCGCGGATCAGCACCGCGTCACCGGTGAACACCAGACCGGCCGCGTGCAGCACGTACGACACACAGCCTGCCGGGCAGAGGAGCGGCACCACACGTACAGACCGGCCGCGTGCAGCAAGTACGACACACAGCCTGCCGGGCAGAGGAGCGGTACCACACGTCCCCGGTGAACACCAGACCGGCCGCGTGCAGCACGTACGACACACAGCCTGCCGGGCAGAGGAGCGGTACCACACGTCCCCGGTGAACACCAGACCGGCCGCGTGCAGCACGTACGACACACAGCCTGCCGGGCAGAGGAGCGGCACCACACGTACAGACCGGCCGCGTGCAGCAAGTACGACACACAGCCTGCCGGGCAGAGGAGCGGTACCACCGCGTCCCCGGTAAACACCAGACCGGCCGCGTGCAGCACGTACGACACACAGCCTGCCGGGCAGAGGAGCGGTACCACACGTCCCCGGTAAACACCAGGCCGGCCGCGTGCAGCACGTACGACACACAGCCTGCCGGGCAGAGGAGCGGCACCACACGTACAGACTGGCGCACAGGGGGAGTATGATATGTACATACAGTCTGCCGTACAGAGGGGTACGACACGTACAGACTGACGCACAGAGGGAGTACGACATACAACCTGTCGTACAGAGGGAGTACGACAAGTACAGTCTGGCGTACAAATGGGTACGACACGTACAGTCTGGCGCACAGGGGGAGTATGATATGTATAGTCTGCCGTACAGAGAGGTACGACACGTACAGCCTGCCGTATAGTAAGAGGGAGTACGACACACAACATGTCGTACAGAGGGAGTACGACACGCACAGACTGCCGTCAGAGGGTTGCGACATGTACAGACTGCCATACACAGAGTATGACACACAACCTGTCGTACAGAGGGGTAAGACACGTGCAGTCTGGCGCACAGACGGGTACGTCACACTCACATACATACAGTCTGCCGCACAGAGAGTACGGTTACGTACCTAAAGGGTACCAAGCAAAGGAGGTACAACAAGTGCGACACACTTCTTGCTGTACATGCAGTAAGAAAAGTAAGCATGTACGAGTTATGACGCACGGTCGCACCGCATTTCTAATAAAAAAGTCTGTGGGTACCCCGTCTCTCACCGTTGGTGTGTCCGTGGGTACCCCGTCTCCCACCGTTGGTGTGTCCGTGGGTACCCCGTCTCTCACCGTTGGTGTGTCTGTGTCTGTGGGTACCCCGTCTCTCACCGTTGGTGTGTCTGTGGGCACCCCGTGTCTCACCGTTGGTGTGTCTATGGGCACCCCGTGTCTCACCGTTGGTGTGTCTATGGGTACCCCGTCTCTCACCGTTGGTGTGTCTGTGGGTACCCCGTCTCTCACCGTTGGTGTGTCTATGGGCTCTCACCGTTGGTGTGTCCGTGGGTACCCCGTGTCTCACCGTTGGTGTGTCCGTGGGTACCTCGTCTCTCACCGTTGGTGTGTCTGTGGGTACCCCGTCTCTCACCGTTGGTGTGTCTATGGGCTCTCACCGTTGGTGTGTCCGTGGGCACCCCGTCTCTCACCGTTGGTGTGCCCCGGCGTGGCGCGCGTCTCCAGCTGCAGGCCGCCCACGGTGACGATGTCGCCGGCGCTCAGCCGGACGTCAGCGCGCGCCCCGGACGCCGCCGCTATGACGCTCCGGCACGACGGCACGTGCTGCTTCAGCAGGCCCGAGCCGGTCACGTGGTCGGCGTGCATGTGCGTGTTCACTGCCGGGAGGTGGACGGAGGGAGCTGAACGGTGTGGGACGCTCTCATTGACAGCTTACCACGGTCACAGCCAATAGACACAACAACACTTGGAGGCAAAACCAAACGCACACCACAGATGGAAAACGAGATATTGGGGCACTAACTATCCGTAGTTGCTGCTGGTAACCAGTAAAGGAGTATGAAAAAAGACATGAGAACAGGGGCGTCGCCACGGATTTTTTAGTTTGGGGAGGGGGTCGGGTTTAAGGTCTTCGCCCTGTTGGGATTGGCTCCCATTTTTCGTGTGTAAAGAAAGCCTCGGCGCACAGCGCAAAAAAGTACATCTTATTATACATCACTTTGCATTGTGTGTAAAAATTTTGATTTCAGGTCACCTACAAGATTAGGGTCACCTAAAAGCTACAAGATTTTCACACCGACGTAAGGAGACGCTTCTTCAACGTGAGATGCATAGCTGCGTGGAATGCTTTGTCAGTGTTTGTGACCGCACCTAAATTAGCTGGATTTAAGAAGTTACTGGAGAAGGCGCTGGGCGAGGCTCTCTACGAATTCACTGACTGACGGTTGTACAGTTTTCTAGGCATACGCGTATTAAGGAGTCGATAATATGTTCGCTGTCGATAATATGTTCGTGTTTATTGAAGACGCCAAATTCCAGCCACAATATGCATTGTAATTATCATGTGAGCTGTGTTTCTATCTGGGCTGGCGCGTCTTTTGATCAGGGTTCCTAAATATCCTTCTCGATTTCCTAACCACGTTTTGGGCTCAGACCAGAAATGGAAACCCAGCCAGGTGAGTAAACCTGAGGTCAGGTCAGGTCACCAATGCTACGTCAAGTTATGTAGCCTCTAAAAATGTGATTTTGTCATTCCTTCAGCTTAATCCCCTAACAGGGACTCGAATTTCCACTGCGGGGGGGGGGGGGGGGAGATCGGTCTGGCCATAGACCATTTTGTTGATGCCTTGCCCCCGGGGCCTGAAATGTTGACCTGAGGTCATATTGGCCACTTAGAACCTTAGCCTGTGACCCTAACCCTTAGACTTAGCCTGTGAAGAAACCATCGCTTGTTGTTATGCGCGTTTGCGCTCCTCTGGCTCGTCAGGTAATGCAAGCAGTTTTAGTCGCATATTTTCGGACTCTGGGTATAACTGACAAAATTACCGGCCATTAACGACCTCATAATGGTCCGACCATCGACTTCATCAGACAATTAGTAGCCTCAGTGGGTTTCAGTGTTGGTAAGCACTTCACGAACGAGCGAGCAGGCTTGAGGCCAGCGAACTTCAGGCGTAAATGGCGGATGCGGTCTGTCTGTTCTATATAAGTGGCACGACTTGCTGACTATGAACGAGTGGGCCTTGGACTGGGCCATGACACTGCACTGTGGGAATTGGGCACTGCACGGGCGTAGGTGCAAAAAGAGACCGTATAGTGCGAACCACTCATCTATCTAGGACTCCATGCTCTGCGTCAGTTCCCTACAGCAATCTCTGAGGACGTCACACGAGCATTTGAGGGGTCCGCGCTTACCTATGAGGGCACCACATCAGCCTCTGTTGGCCTTGAACGACAGCTCTATGCTAACCACTGAGGGCTCGCGCCGGCCTCTGAGAGACCGCTTCCGACAGAGAGAGCCACTCCGGCCTAAGGCCTCTCTGGGCACAAGGCCCTCCTCCGCGAGCCCACACCGTCTTCTGAGGACCTTACAGGACCCCAATGTACTCTGATGGTACCCTACTTCATTCTCGAATGGCCGTTCACTCATCACTGACATCTGAGGCCAGGGCCTCGTCTAAGGAATTTTCCGTGGGTGGGTGGGTGGAAGGGGGGGGGGAGGAATCCCACGAATACAACATTGGCACCATATGTAATTCAATGGTGTGTTGTTTGGCCTATGAATGGCATTCAGGGCAGAAGCAAAGAAACCGTAGTTTTTGGACCCGCTAAGCCTCAGCATGAGGGCACTAATAGGTAGAAGGGCACCAAACAACAGGAAGGCCCAATGATCAGGAGGGCGGCGATCAACAGGAGGTCATTAGCGGGTAGAAGGGTGGTGATCAACAAGTGTGCCAATGGGAAGGACAGCCCCGATCAACATTCAACAGGAGGGCACCAAAAGGTAGGACAGCGTCAATCAACATGAGAGCAGGGGGCTATCGGGTAGGGACGCAGCAATTAACAGGCTAAGATTAGAGCGCTACAGCATACATATGCGATTGGATGGTACCAGAGGGCGCCCGCCAACCGCATTTGCCCTGTCAATACATTTGCGATTGGAGGGCGCCCTCGGCGTCCAAGGGAGGGAGCATGGCCAAGTGCCTCCCCCCCCCCCCCCCCCCCCTCCGGCATTGGTCAGGACCCGTTCATTACTATAGTCTGTTCTTGGTCTGTTCCATATCAAGGTTGCAGTCGGAGTTTCTTCGGCAGATCGCTCATAGGGCCTTGATCGCTCCTCCGCTCAAGAATTTGCGTCTTAAAATGTAAGAGCTGTATATACAGAAATCACGCACTGCTTTCAGCAGGGCACTTCGGCTGCAAGCTTGAAACGGAACAGAGTATAGCTGACCTGCATATTTCAGTGTGAGCCCCAGGTCGCTGACCACCTGCAGGTCCCGGGTGACCTGGTCGATGACAGGATCGATCAGAGCCGCTTCTCCAGTGCTCCGGTCTCCCACCAGATAAGTATAGGTGTACGTGTCAGCATCAAACAACTGCCGCACATGGGGAGGCAGGCATCAAAAGGTCAGACCACAGGTCCATAATATAGGAGCGTCTATCTCTTTCAAATTGGTGCATGAGGTTTAGTCAATCTGATCAGCCATGCCTTTTAATGAGTATTTCATCGCTACCTTTTTTAACACGCGCCGTGCTGGGGGGGACAGTGTGGCCAAATTGGTGATGTTGCGTGGAAAGTCACCCCCCATGAAAAGCATAATGACATCATCAGAAATTTTAAAATTACATCATCACGACGTTTTTGTCGTGAAGGCATGCCTATGTAGTGTAGGAATAAAGACTAAAAATGTTCCAATGTACGATTCGCACCGTCATACTCGTGCTGTCGCGCTTGCAATGTTTTTTTTTTTTACATCTTTAATGACAATATTAGGAGTTTTTTGTACTTTCCGAACTTGACGTCAGGTATAGTTTTTCCACATTATCTGTAAAAACTGCACCTAAATTGAGGCTGAAGACGAGTTTTTTGAAAATATTGACATCCTCGTACAACTTTTTTATACATCCTCCCCCTAACGCTAAACCAATTTGGCCACACTGGGGGGGGGGGGGGGGGGAAGGGGTTACACCTGCCCCCCCCCCCATGTTTTTTGCATATATCTCAAAAACGGCGGCGCTTTCCGCACATGTTGTGAAAATTTCAGACCAGGGTCGTTCAAGGTCAGGTCACCAGGTCGCGTCAAGTGACCTTACGTCAGAAAAAGTTCAAAGGCTCGATAGTCGATATAGCCACACCGACTGAACGATCACTTTGAAACTTTCAGCGATTGATATGAGTAACAGCATGTATGTATATGCATGTATATGCATGCCCCTGAGATCATCTCAGGTCATGAACGGTCGCCAGCAGTTTTTTTGGCTATAACTTTTGATAGAGACGTGCTAGAGCGGTGAAACACGTCAGATGTGTTCAGCTCGACGATACGGATCGACTGATATGCATCATAACCCTTTGCGGTCAGGTCATGACCTTGACCTATGGTCAAATTTTCAAAATGACATTTCAATGTCAACAAATAGTTCATTCGACGCGCCTTCACGAGAGGAACACGACGCTGCCAAAAGAAATGTCGTGGCTTTCTTGAGTCAAAAGTTATTGCCGAAAAATGTTTCGTGAAAATGCATCTTTTTACAGTTTTTGCCCTCTGGAGGCTAAACCGTTGACCTGACGTCAAATCTGAAAACATCACTCAGAAAGATCTGTAAAAGGGCTATCGAATGCGCTTTTCCGCGGCGCTGTAGCTGAATTGGTTCCCGAGGCGGTGTGGTGTGGTGGTGTTTTAGGGCGCACCAGTAAGTAGACATGCAGGCAGTAGGTAGGTGTCCCACCTGTCTGAACACCAGGTTCGTGCCAGGAGCAGTTACAGTTGAGTGCAGCCTGCTGGGGCATGTAGACGGAACAGAACCACACTGCAGAGTCTGCCTGGAGACCAGACTTCCAGCTATCTGTCCCCACTGGGGCAGCACTCTTCTCATTGCCAGCATCCTCACTACCTGCACAGAAAAAAAGGCAGGATCAATACAAAAGAAACTGGTATCGGTAACCCTGGCGTCACCGGTAGTGTTTTCGTTCAAGGCTAAGGTTTCCTGTATTAGGCTGCTGTGCCAAGCCGAAGCATGCTGTGACGACTGACGTCACTGGGTAAGAGAAGATAACGTACCACGCTATCAGTATTGGTATCGACTGAGACTCAGATTGACTCAGACCGACTCAGGCAGACTCAAACTGACTCGACCGACTCAAACCGATTCAAATCGACTCGGACCGACTCAGAACGACTCAAATCGATTCCGATCGACTCAGACAGACTCAGAACGACTCAAACCGACTCAGGCGGACTCTAACTGACTCGACCGACTCAAAATGATTCAGATCGACTCAGGCCGACTCAGGTAGACTCAGAACGACTCAAACTGACTCAGACCGAATCAACCGACTCAAATCGATTCCGATCGACTCAGACAGACTCAGAACGACTCAAACCGACTCAGGCAGACTCTAACTGACTCGACCGGCTCAAACCGATTCAGATCGACTCAGACCGACTCAGGTAAATTCAGAACGACTCAAACTGACTTGGACCGAATCAACCGACTCAAATCGATTCCAAACGAATCAAACAGACTCGGTACGACTCAGACAGCCTCAGGCAGACCCAAACTGACTCGACCGACTCAAACCAATTCAGATCGACTCAGGCCGACTCAGCTAGACTCAAACGACTCAAACTGACAGACCCAACCGACTCAATCGATTCCGATTGACTCAGACAGGCTCAGAAAGACTCAGACAGGCTCAGGCAGACTCAAACCGACTCAACTGACTCAAACTGATGTAGACCGACTCAGACACACCCATCGGTTTGACCTGAATCGGTTTGAGTCGGTCGAGTCAGTTCGAGTCTGCCTGAGTCGGTTTGAGTCTGCCTGGTCTGAGTCGTTCTGAGTCTCTCTGAGTCGATCGGAATCGATTTGAGTCGGTTGAGTCGGTCTGAGTCAGGTCGAGTCGTTCTGAGTCTATCTGAGTCAGTCTGTGTCGATCTGAATAGGTCTGAGTCTGCCTGAGTCGGTTTGAGTCTGCCTGAGTCGTTCTGAGTCAGTCTGAGTCGATCGGAACGATTTGAGTCAGTTGAGTCGTTCTGAGTCAGTCTGAGTCATTCTGAGTCTATCTGAGTCAGCCTAAGTCGATCTGAATCGGTCTGAGTCTGCCTGAGTCTGTCTGAATCGATCGGAATCGATTTGAGTCTGTTGAGTCGTTCTGAGTCAGTTTGAGTCGTTCTGAGTCATTCTGAGTCGGTCTGAGTCGATTTGAGTCGGTTGATTCAGTTTGAGTCTGCCTGAGTCAGTCTGAGTCAATCTGAGTCTCAGTTGATACTGATAACGTGGTACGTTATCTTCTCTTACCCAGTGACGTCACAGCATGCTTCAGCTTGGCACGGCAGCCTAATAAGGAAACCTTAGCTTTGAACGAAAACACTACCGGTGACGCCAGGGTTACCGATACCGAGAAACTCACATCGCATCACCACCTCAGCTGCAACAGTAAATACCTAATTCTAGGATGACCTTCCTTCAGGGTTCTGATTTTGATCTCATTGGGCTTGTGGCTTTCCAATCCTTATCACATGGCTTCATTTGTGGCTTAGCTCAGTAGGCGGAACTATGGTCATGAGTACCCAAATATAGGAACGTTCCCGTTTTTGGGAACGGAGTTCCCAAATATGGGAACGGGCGTTCCCATTTATGAGAACGGAAGGCAATTTTTCGGCCGTTCGCCCACTAAAACTCAAAAGTGCATCACGTCTCAAAAAAGTGCACGCTGATTGAAGTATCTACTAAATCTCCATAAAGTTATCTTTAATCTGACCGTGGAACAAGGAAATTGACCGTGGAATGATATTTTTAATGATTTTTTAAAAATGACAAAATGTTGAAAATATGGGTTATACGACATTTAACATGCAATTTTAAGGAAAATGAAGCATTTTTTAGTTTGAGGTTAAGTATAATAATTTTCGCCTGGTTATGAACTTTCATACTATCGACACCAGATGCTGACAAATGCAAGCGAAGACGCGGACGGTCCCGAGGTAATATTGTTGACTTTTGGTGTCGGGGCGGACGACCGCGTGGAACGTGAGTGAATTTACCGAACTACTGTTGTAAACTCAGTTTAAGCGGTTGAAAATTATCCAGCTGTATTTTATCAACCTTGAAAGACATATTTTATTTGGATGCTAGCTGTTAAGCATTGCTTTTAAGGAGCGTCATGAGCGTGGTTTTTGTCTTCGGTATTTTTAAGCACGATCGTTTTGGGGGAATTTCTTTTATGCAGGTCGCCCTGTGTGGCTTATTTATAATTTTTATGCTGATTTTGATCATTTCTCGTGCCCATCCTACCAGGCTTTTTGCCACTTACACTCATTAAGAAAGGAAAAAAGTAGATTTATATTGGTACTAGGTGTTTTGAGAGTGAAACATTTCAGCGTTCCCATTTTTGGATACTTACTTGTGCTCATCAACTATCAGTGTTAAACAGACAGGTGTTTTACATGCCTCCACCCTCGGCGCGGACGGTGTATATAGGTATGGAAGACCTTGTTGAACATCGCTGAGCGTTGTGAATTACGTAATCCTGCAGAGGGGGGCGTGCCCGTTGCGAGATCGACGGGAATAAAAGCGCAGAAGACCGGGCGGAACATGCGACGGTCTTGCCGGAAAGGTCATCTGATGATTGTTGCGTTAACAATAATTTGCGGCGTTGGACGTGATGCTTGTTAATGAAAAGAGCCCCTGAAAGCCGTCGGTGAAATCGTTCCCAATTTTGGGTACGCCGTTCCCATAATAAGGAACGCTTGCAGCGCCAGTGTACGAGAGCGTTCCCAAATTTGGGCTCGCGGCCCGTATGATGGACTGCTTTAGAAATAGGGGAACGATTTGAAACTACGATGGGCCTTACAATATCAAACTCTTTCCCAACAATATTGAGACAAATATCAGGCGGTTCACGATCGTTTTATATTTTTTGGACGTCATTTAACGGTTCTTTTTCTTGTTTTAAATAATGCCTACATGGCGTTCCCATATTTGGGTTTATCGTTCCCAAAGATGGGAACGAAAATGCGTTCCCGAAAATGGGTACGCTTGACCATAGTTCCGCCTACTGAGCTTACAAGCCATACTGATACACTGTGGAGCAGGAGGTGGACATTAGGTACAAGTAAGACAAGCCAATAGAATGAAGTAGCCACTAGCCTGCACACAAGTAACCATCAAAACAGAAAAAAAAAACTTGAGCGCAAAGGCTCCTCTAACCTCAGCCTTTTTCCTCAGATACCTTTTTCAAAACTTTCAACTTGCCTTCAATATGCTTTCCAAGGTTGCTTTCAACCAAGGGCCCAAAATCTTTCAACCAACTTACCCAGGGTATAAGGGTATATAGAACAACGGGTACACCAACGACGCGGAAAGCGCCCATTTTACCTGGATAAGTTACATGGTAGGTGATATATTTTTTGAATATGGAAAAAATAGAGTATTCTATTCTGACGAGTAAAGCCAAATTCATAAAGCAGTTATTTTTAAATTATATGTACCAGAAATAACATACTGACCATAGTTTAAAACTTAGTCTAAACTTAGTTGAAAAGCGTATAGTTGATACTAAGATGGAAGGAATCAATGGAAGGCGAAAATGGCGCAGCTGTTTCATTCTTAAAATGTGTTCGCAAGCAGGATTTACGTGATGCTAGCGACATCTGTCAATGTAATCGGCGACGCTGATTGGCTGATAGAGTCCGTGAGCAGTATTACTGACTTACGCCAGTACAGGGTTGAGGCAATGTGCGCATGCGCAGGAACTTGTGCTCTCACGGAGGGGCTTTTGGTACCTCGGGCAGCGCCCAATGCTTTTTGGACCTGTTATGGCCTCCGCATCGAAAAACGCTAGATAAAAAGGTTGTAGAGGAAGCTTGAGGCTACCTTTCCCCACAATAATATCGGCACTTTATCTTTTAGCTTACGTGTGAGGCTCGCTTGAAAAAGGTCGATTTAACATGGAAACCCTATGGGGTAGTAGTTTTTGAGCGCCCATTTGGCCTAATGCTACCAACTGTTACTGGCTACCCCTGAACTTACCTTCTTTCAGAAGACCAACGTTGTTTCAGAAGACACTAAACCACTGCCAAATACTGTTATCGCCGGGTATGCAGTGACTGGCTCCACAACAGGGAGATAAAGGTTATGGAATACGAATCGAATTGCAATGAATGCTAATTTGCAAAGGCAACGTTTAAGCTCACTCCTCCGATCAAGCATGTATAACCAGCTTCCACCTAGTGTTCAAACGTATACGTATTGCATGATGCAACGAACTGCTTTGCCACCAGACGTCGAAATCTGCCTTGTCATGCACTGTAAGCATTTTTCCAAGATGGTCGATTGAAAAACTGAAAATGATTTTTTAAAGCACCTCTTGACCAAGGCTATATAAGCTCTAGACTCAATTTAAAGTTTTATTACGGTAAAATATGACTAGTTATGCAGCTACCACCTACTGTCCACAACATAGAAAAAAATTCAGAACCTCAGAGCTGGAATGGTTACCCAGCAAGCGGCTAATAATAATATGCAACTTATATTTCTAAATGAACTTCCAATTTAGTGAATAACTGTTGTCAACATTATCAGTGATATACGATAAGGAAAACAAACGCTAAAGTAAGCGTTTGTTCAGAAAATATTGCTTTCTTCCTATTTTTGCAGCAGTTTAAGGACCCCTCCGCCGAAGATCGTCGCAGCTGCGCAATATATGACGTGGGAATAATTTTTAGTTTGTGTTCGGACTTCGAAGGGCGTGGACGGTGTTCCGTACGCTGGCACTTGTGGTTGTGATTTCAATTTGATAGGTAACTAAGGTGTCTTTCGATTAAGTTTCATAAAAAATATCACATTTTGTTTATTTCGAATGAGCGGTATAATTTTTATTAATTGAGTGCTTCAGTGTAAGGCACAGAAGGGCTCACTACTCGACTTACAAAAATTTGAAGTGAAATTTGAGACGGTTGCTCTGTGCTGTGTGCAAGTGCTACTTTTCTCAAGCTACCCACATTTCAACTTTGAAATAAGCTGAAAACTCGTGGAAGAAGACTCAGTGAATCCTGATCGTATTTTCAGGTGCCAGTGTAGGTGCAATCAGGCAATGGCCCCTAAATCCTAATCATTTTACCTGTTAGAAAAATGAAAGGTGTTAAGTGTCACTGATGTGAAATCCAGCTGCTGAAGTTATACTCTTATTCTCAGCACTTACGTCTTAAAGGGCATTTTTGAGAAAGCCTTGGGAGATTGAGACGTCAGTCAAACTGTTCAAGTATGGCCTGGGGAACTGAACTTTGGGTAAGCATATGTTGATATGGATGAAAAATTGTCTTACAGTTATTGTTTGATATGTTGCTTATTAATTTTTAACAGAAAATTATCTAATATGCATCACATTTTCACAGGGATATTGCATTTTCTGTCATCAGCTTCTATGCCAAGTGTAAGCTTGTCATAAAATGGACAATATATGTTTTACTTGTTGCCAGAAATATGTATAGGTTGAGTTCCACTTATTTTCTTTGGCATTGATTCTATTGTGTTCAGCTGTGAACTATGTGTATGCATTTGTTATAACCATTGTCATCTTTTTCCAGGACCAGTTTGACAATGTTTCCAGTCACACCCTAAAGGGATTGGAGTTCCTGGAAAAGTATGGAAGATTCCAGAAGGACCGCTGTGATGTGGAAAACCGATATGCTGCTGATCTCAGGTAATACTTTTTTGTAATCAGGAGGGGTGTTCATGGGCACTGCAAACTGCTGAGTGCGGTGTGTGCAGCAGGCGTGAGGGTAGGGGATGGGTAGGCAGTTATGACGTCATGGCTGCGTGCGGTGGACGGTCCGCTGTGGCCGGTCCCAACCGACCATAGCGGTCGCTGTGTGCGGTAACGGAAGGATGACGTAGGGACGCAGTGGGCGGAGCTTACAGCCTGTGTAGGTGTACGGTCCGACCGCACACAGGGCCCGTGAACAGCCCTAGGGCTCACATGTGCCTAAGCTCAAACTCCTAACTTGCTCTGCCTGCCAGGAAAGACATGCCTGTTGTCATCTGTTGTCATTGACAATCCTGGAGACTTACGTACACCACTGTTAAACTATTAAACATGGGAGGAACTCAGCTGTGCTCACCTAATCTGACAGAGATCGGGGCTGGCAGCATTAAAACCGAGACCGAGTCAGCTCCGCTGCTGGTGTACCTGCGCTGAAACCGTGCACCACTGAAGGATTGACGGGATAGAAGTTGACTGAATCATGGATGTCTAGTTTTCTGGGCAGTGGGCAATTCATGCCAATAGATAAAGATGTGTGATTGGAGCTCTCTATGTCTTTAGGGAGTTCAACAGATTATTGATTTTTTACGTCTGTGATGCTTGTGAGTTGCATCGCACGGATAGCTAACATTTATCGGTAATCGAGATTAGTGCGGGAACCTGGAAGTCGACATTTCCCACGGTAGTGACCAAGACATTTCACTCCCAGCCGGTTATATCGCACAGACGGTGCTGCCGTATTCGATCTCCGAGTGTCGGCGCTATCGTGTTCACATCGAGCCCCCTGCACATAGCCTCGTTTTTAAACGTGGCTTCGTGACAAGTTGCGCTCGAGTGTTCAATTCCCATTTCCCAGAAACTTATCATAGCTCGCACTGTAGCTTTCCAGCTTTTCCGCATCATTCGGCTACAAACGTCGCCTCGTTTTGCAAAGGTTGAAATGCTTGGACTCTGTTTAGTGCCTTATCGAAGTGCAGTACTGCCTGCGTTGTTTTGAAACTCTGCTGCTATTATAGTGCACTTTTTAATGTTACTATGAATCAACACAGGTATCGAAAGATACACTAGGTGCCATCGGTGTCACTCAGGGCACTGCGTTGTGAATGTGGACACATACTTTACGTTACGTTAGGGTGGAGATGCGTTAGGTCACCTCGGTATCATTTACTTATCATCTCATAAGGCACTGGTATGTAAAACCATTGTTAGTAGTGATGTCAATTACGGAAAATCGAGATACCGATACCAAACCAAATACCAACAATATCCATTGAAAGATACTGAAACCAAACCGACTTGGGAATAGGAGGAAAATAGGTACCAACTTTTTACCAAATTCTCAGCCTCTTTTACATTAGTGAGGATTCATAATACCAACAAAATACCAAATCCACTCGCCTTGAAATACCAAATACCAAGTTTGTATCGGTTTGGTATCGGTATACCAAAAGGTTGGTATCCGAATGACATCTCTAATTGTCAGTGAAGGGCGGAGACGCTTGTTTCGCGACTGTGTTTGCGGTTCACGACTGGTGTCAGATTGCGGCGAGGAGCCGTCACCGGAACATCTGCGGCCGAGACGACCCACAGCCAGCCGCCTATCTCTCCAGTCCACGCGGCACGCTGGTGTGGTCGAGTCGACAGCCGCCTATCTCCCCACGCGGCACGCTGGTGTGGTCGAGTCGACAGCCGCCTACTGTGTCCGGTAACAGTACACACTGCAGTCTGCACTGTCCGACGGCTGTGTGCTGGATCCGGATACTCCACTGGCTGGTGGGCCTATACTGTGTCCGATAACAGTACACACTCCCTGACTGGTGGGCCTAGACTGTGTGCGGTAACACTACACACTCCACTGACCGACGGCTGACGTGTGCTGGATCCGAATACTACAATGGCTGATGGGCCTGTACTGGATCTGGTAACAGTACACACTCCACTGGCCGACGGCTGACGTGTGCTGGATCCGGATACTCCACTGACGGTGGGCCTATACTGTGTAGTGTGTCCGGTAACATTACACATTCCACTGGCCGACGATTGTGTGCTGGATCCGGATACTCCATTGGCTGGTGGGCCTATACTGTATCCGATAACAGTACACACTCCACTTACCGACGGCAGTGTACGTGTGCTGGATCCGGATACTCCACTGACTGGTGGGCCTATACTGTGTCCGGTAACATTACACACTCCCTGGCTGGTTGGCCAATACTGTGTCCGGTAACAGCAGAACACACTCCACTGGCCGACGGCAGTGTGGTAAGTCGGGAGCCATCCCGCCGGCCGACGGACTTGTGCTGGATCCTGCGGCAGTCCATTTGACTGACAGCCGTGTCACACAGGATACCAGTCAGTAGCAAGACTCACGCGAAATGGTCTCCGCCCCTGTCATCTCCCATCGGACTGGTGAACACTGCGTGCCGTCAGTATTCTCTCACGTCAGGGCGAATCTCGGTCCAATCACCAACGGCGCTTGCTTCCAGTGTTAGCTGCTGTTCGGGTCTGCAGTGGTAACTTCCTTCGCGGCCGTGAGTCGTGAGCTGCTGATTTATTTTACCGCTCTGGAATCTGGGCCGCCAACTGCGGTGCCCTTGTTCACTCACTCCGGTATGGAAGCGTGCGCCTGGCTCAGGGCGCGTGTACACTTTCCTGCATAACTGGCGGGCTGCGGCGCTTCTGCCGCGTAAGGCCGGGCTGCGGCTGCGGCTGTACCAGAGTGGCTCTCAGTCTCCTCACTATTGATGGCCGTTTGGGTCTGTAGAAATACGGCAATACGGCCGGGGCTCGGTATAAAGTGTTCAGTGGCATGTTTAGAGGCAGGAACTGTGATTAGACATCAGGAATTCCGTGTGTATTTCATCCATACATGATTTCATTCAAATATGCTATATTCATTTGTTCCGTCTGTACACTGTATTTAGACCTAGGAACAAACAAGTAAATACAACACGGCCCGACTCTCCGCGGCCCCCGGCTCCGACTGCCGGCCGACGCCGTTTCCGGCGGTAGGCAAGAATTCCGCAGCGCGCACGTGCACTCACGGCCGAGGTGACCTCCAGCCCAGTGTTCCGCGCAGCGACGGTATAGCACGGCGCTACTAATAGCCACTACTGAACACTCCTTCCCTCTGAGCTACAAGATAACTAAACCCTCCAACACTGATCCCACAGGGAACAAACACAAACACGAATCATAGCCACGTTACAGATCCAGGCGCACAGGGGCCCTACGAACGCGATGGGGCCGGCTCAGCGGCTCCGGTGCTCCACTCCCCTCGGAGCCCGGCGGCGAGGGACACGACGCACCGCGCACCGCGCTCTGCTGTGGAGCCGGCGATGGTGTGGCATCTCGAGACGCAGACGGCGACGCCGTCACACACATCGGTGGAGCTGGCGTATCGGGCAGCAGCGGCACCTGTGTCCCAGGAAGCGGCGGACCCGCCGGTGCCCTGAGCGGTGGCGGTGGCGGTGAGGACGCCACGACGAGCGGCGTTGGCGACGCGTGTGTGTTCCTACCCGGAGCGTGCGACAGCTGAGCAGCTAAAGTTGGCGGCTCTGGACGGTGGCTGGGCTGTGCACCGTCCGCTGGAGCCGGGGCGTAGCGAGTTCTCAGATGAGACCGGTGACGCTTGAACACTCGGCCATCCAGCAAGCGAACCTCACAGATCTGGCCTGCGACCGAGCTTACCACCGCCGGAACCCACTTCTGCTGCGATTGCGGGATAGCTGTGACGTATACCTCTTCACCAGCATGAAAGTGCCGGTCACGAGCACTCCGGTCCGAACGATCCTTCCACGTCTGTTGGTGAAGCTCGACCTTTGCGGTGAGATCGGGGTGCACCAGATCCATCATACTTCTCACCGAGCGTCCCAGCAGGAGCTCAGCCGGGGTACGACCTGTAGTAGAGTGTGGCGTGTTTCTGTACTTAAACAGAAACCGGGACAGGCGCGTCTGCAAACTCCCCTCCGACCGCTGTGCGATGCCGGACTTCACCACCTTCACTACCGCCTCGGCTTGGCCGTTTGAGGCGGGATGAAGAGGTGGGCTGAACCTGTGTACGATGCGGTTTCCCTTGATGAAGGTCTGAAACTCCGACGACGAGAAGGCTGTGCCATTGTCAGACACCAGGATTACCGGCAACCCATGCGTACTGAAGCTCATCCTCAGTTTCTCAATCGCCGCTGCTGAAGACGCTGAAGCACAGATATGCACGTCGCACCACTTCGAGTACGCGTCAACTACAACCAGTAGCTGCTTTCCCTCCACGGGGCCAGCAAAATCTACGTGCACCCTCTGCCACGGACGCTGAGGGAAAGTCCATGGCTGCGCTGGCACCTCCGGCTGCAGCCCACGATGGATCTGACACTGATGGCAAGTACGAACACACTCTTCAATCATGATATCGAGTTCGGGCCACCACACGTGGCTCCGAGCGAGTCGCTTCATCTGGTTTATGCCCGGATGGCCGTCGTGCAAGACTCCGAGTACCTGAGATCGGAGTGACGTCGGAATCACCATTCTGCAGCCCCACAGGACACATCCGTCCTGTAGGCTCAGCTCCTGCCGACGACGGTAGAAAGGCAGCAGGCCTTCGTCGTCAGGAGGCGTCTGTGGCCACCCGACTTGCAGGCACCGGAGCACCCTGGACAGGACCGGATCTCGACTCGTTTTCGCACGAATCTGGTCCACATCCACAACTCGAGACACGTCTTCCAGCATATTGGCGACGTCGCCAGGCACTGGGGCATCGGCCGGGACGACTGACAGTGGCAGGCGGCTGAGCCCGTCAGCGTTGCCAATGCTCTGTCCCGCTACATACTGCAACTGGTACTGATAACCAGCCAGGAGCAGCCGCCATCGAAGGATCCTGGGAGATACCGCGAGAGGTAGGGCTTTGTCGGCAGAAAGTAGTCCCACCAGAGGCTTGTGATCTGTTC